GCCAAGAGCATCTTTATAAAAAACTATGAGGAAATATAAAAAGGTATAACTAAAAAACAACGATCCGCAAACGGTAAGTAAAAACAATGGTAAGTATACAAAATAATCAGCAGATGGTAAGTAAAATCAATGATCTATAAATGGTAAGTAAAATCAATGGTAAGTAAAATCAATGATCAGACGATGGTAAGTAAAATCAATGATTATAGAAAAGAACATAAAGAATGTAGGAACAAGAGCTGTATAATTGGCTGTTGGGAGAAGAAACAATGTAAAAAGACACAAGATCAATTACAAAGTGAACTAGACAACTTTACTTGTAAATTTATGGCTGTGTGTTGAAGTGATAACATTTCAACACTCAATGAAGGTCATGATGGTGCAAATTGGCCAACTTGCCTGAGTCAGAAATTTCAATTTCATTGACCTCACTGTGAGAGTCGGACTCATCTTTGAACTGCCCATCATCCTCAACCTCGGACTCTGCGGTCTCTCTATTCTCCACCACCTCTGACTCATTGGAATACTCTCCATTCCCCTCGCCCTCGGACTCCTCATCGTACTTTCCATCATCATTCAGCAACTCACCATTCAGCAAACTGAAAGATTTAGGGTAATAATAAACAACAATATGACTGTGAATGTGTACATGTTTAGAATAAATAAAACCAAGTACGAACGTTCCAAACCGTTAGACAAAATTCGAAATCCTAAAAAAACGTTATCGGCAAAATCGTGACAGCAAATGGACTGTCCATCAAATACATGATAAACAGTGGTAACAGGTGTCCAGGAAGAGTAAGCTTACCCTGCTGACGCGCCACACCCGCCATAGCGCATCCAACCAATTAAACGAAAACCGAAATTATTAAAAAAAAACAGTCTCAATAAAATAGAGTACTATAGAATTTCATTTTAAATGAAAGTGTATTGTGACACTACTTACCCATCAATAATATCTTGAAGTTCCTCTTCATCTTCTTCTTCATCCACCAGAGCTGTAGGCTTCTTCAACTGCAACTTCTTCTCCTGGTAACAGCCAACTACAGTCTTGTTTGTACATTTTGCTGTCTTGGCAGAGGACCCAAGCTCAACACTTGTATTGCAATTACAGCAGAAACAGGACAGCTCCCTTGTGTGAAGTATGAATGGCCGGCCAACATTGTTCCTTACTTGGTGGATCTTTCTGGTTTGTGGAATGGTCTTGACGTCAGTGACACTTCTCGAGCGTGGTATGACCCCTTTTGGAACGTAGATGAAACTCCGTTTCGACAATGTGTTGTTGAGCTGGAAATGTTCAGTGCACCACCTGTATGCATCATATGCGCTGCTAATCACCGTCCCCACACCACATATAGCCCGATCAAGTGCCCTGTTTACCAGCCCTATTTCGCCGTCGCCGTCAGCTTTACCATGTTCTGATCCGAAGTAGTTTCGTACAATCTTGTGACCTTTGAGAGAGACATCACAGAGTGGTCCAGAGCTCTTGTATTGTGCAGCGCAGCCATCACTAAAGATTGACTTGACAACAACTGACTGGAATTCCATGTGTTCCCTGAGCAACTGGTCAACTTCCTTTGTGAAATGGTCCACAGCATGATAGTCATGCTGATTATCGTCTGAGAAAACGATAACTGAATGTCGCACAGTACCTGCAGCACTGTTGTAGAAGGTTACCACTGGATGCATAGTAATCTGTGATGGGGAATAGAATGCTCCTTTTATTTCGTTTTCATAGAATGTTGATCGGTTCTTGGCAAAATCCATGACTTGCAAGATCCAGCCCTTTGGCAGGCTGTCTCTAAGGCAGGCAAACTGGAAATATTGCCAATGCGCAGTGAACAAGTGCTGAATAAAGGTATTGTTCTTGATGGGTGAAAGGACGTCCTCTACAAGTTCCTTCATCAGATCACCCAGGGTGGCTGTTTTGCTAATCAGCATGCGTTTCGTTTTCCCATTGCATTCAGTTTTCCTCCAGGAACTCCAGACTACAGGGTTGCTCAATTCAGCTTGAGAAAAGTTGAAATAAGAAAACAGGGTTTTCTTGAAATTGCAGCATTTCTTACAAGCACCTTTCACGCATTCTATGCCGTGGAATCTGGCAGTATCAGGCTTAGGACACAGCAGGATGTTGAGCAGGTCAGTCTCATTGGCATGCTTCTTTCCTGGTTCTTTGACTTGTCTCGACAATGTTAACAGCTTGAAACGCACATTGATGCAATATATGCAAACGCAATACTCTCTGTATTTCGTTGTGAGAAGCTTCACATTTTTGGGGCGTAGTCTAGCGAACTTGGCATAACTACATTTGGCATGAAATTCCTCTTGATATTTGGAATGAGCAGCTTTCAATGACATCTGTAGCAAATAGGCTGGTCCTGCTTTAGTAGCATAGCGTTTCATCGGTAAGACTCTGCTGATATCTTCTCTTTTGTAGAACTTCTGGATACTAGCAACATCAGTGGCAAGTTTCCTCGGCTTCTTCTTTTTGATGTACCTCCTATCAATGTTGAATTCACGACCAATAGCACGTTTACTTGCGATCCCTATCAGTTTTCTCGCAAGGATCTTGACAGCTCCCTTTACTTCCGGAGTGACCTTTTCAGTGGCTAGCGGCGAAAACAATCTAACATTCAGTTTTCGGTATTTTCTTGGAATTGGCGGTGTCGTACATCCAATCGCATTCAATGCTGTCCTTTTACGGGGAGAGCACTTACTTGCAAGGCTGGACACAACAGTAGCATACCGAAGGGGGTCATTTGGAAGAGAAGCCCTAGCTTTTGCTGTCACATTCCACTGTGTTTTTTTCGTCTTGTACCCTGAACTGGTGGTTATATTTCTAGGTGCAGATTGCTGAGAATTGGCACGTCTAGCTCGGGCTTGTTCACGTTTATCTCGTTTTCTTTCACGGTCTTTCTTTTTCATCCACACTTGTTTTTGGACGGACCAATTTTTCCTTTCTTTTTGTTTGTAATGTTTGTTTCGCTCCTTCACTGACTGTTGTTGTTGTCGAGTTAGAGCTTTCGCACATCGGCCATTCGAACCCTTCGAAGAAGACTTGTTATCTGAGTATTCTGTGTGATTCAAACTGCAATACTTTTTCTGTCGAGCCCGTCCCAGTTCCTTTTGATGTTCTTTTTTTTCTAGAAGTTTTTTGGCTGGTCTCTTCTTTTTAAGTTCTTCCTTCAGTTTATCACGTGCGTTTTTGTTGCGGACTTTTTGTTGTTCCAGATATCTCTTGTACTCTTCAGGATCTGTCTGTTTCAGCTTTCTCCGCCACTCTGTGCTGCGCGATGGCATGATTCTGAAAACATAAGACAAATTCATTTAATACTGATTTGTGTTGTGTCCAGCCTTGCAAGAACTTAAAAAGAAGAGACCAGCCAAAAAACTTCTAGAAAAAAAACCATCAAAAGGAACTGGGACGGGCTCGACAGAAAAAGTATTGCAGTTTGAATCACTCAGAATACTCAGATAACAAGTCTTCTTCGAAGGGTTCGAATGGCCGATGTGCGAAAGCTCTAACTCGACAACAACAACAGTCAGTGAAGGAGCGAAACAAACATTACAAACAATAAGAAAGGAAAAATTGGTCCGTCTAAAAACAAGTGTGGATGAAAAAGAAAGACCGTGAAAGAAAACGAGATAAACGTGAACAAGCCCGAGCTAGACGTGCCAATATCCCTGAGAAAAAAATGAAGTTAGATATCAAAAATTATCATTGGTTTTCAATCAGAAACTGCAGTGACATGCACCTTAATGCGGTGGAAGTAAGACATCGTTGGTGTCCAATCAAAAACTGCAGTGACACGCACCTCAATGCTGTAGAAGTAAGACATCAATCATCATTGGTTTGTGATGCAAGGATCCCACTACTAGTACAGCACTACCTTCATATGCATAGCCCTGAAAAAAGGGGGCAAGACAAATCTACCTGAGTAGGCTCAACAATGAGTTCAATGACAGTTTTGGGTCCGTCAGAATTAACGGTAGAAATTTAGAATCGGTCAGGGAAGTGACGATAGCACCAAAACATTTGTCAGATAATGACGATAGCAACCAGAAGTCTGTCATATAATGACGAGAGACACAAGAGTGTCCGTCAGGCAGCTGACGATAGAAACCTTTCTGCATTCACCAAGCAGACGACGCAGTGCATTCGAGCAAGCATTTCTATTTGTTGACAAGGTCGACACATTTCACGTTACTTTCGGCAGTTTCAACTCTAGAACATTCCTACAAACCATCTAATTAGATTCCATAGTATGCTATCGTCATGTGTTTCTACCGTTATAAACTCTGACAGAGATACTTACCTTGCATTTGAGTGAAAACTATCCAAAATAATCACGATCTCCCGACCGGAAATTGACCTTCAGCGGCCCAGATCTCGCATGCGCAGTATAGTCTCGCTTGACCAGTCTCTGATAAATTGTGGCAGGTGACCTGATTGTTGCTACCGTTAGTGTTGGCGATCTGACAGAATAACGATAGAACTAGGTCATGTCAAGTTAATTTCTGATTTACGACAGGAATCGACACAGAACACATTACTTTCCAACAGTAATCTATATTTTATTACAATAACTGTTTACAAGTGAAATATGAAGTGAATTACGATGCCTAGTCAAGATGTTTCTATCGTCATTGAAGCTGACGGAAACGAAGTGACGATAGCAACTGCACTTTACCATGGAGGCATAAAAACGGGAGTTGCGTCCGTCAGATTCTCCAATGCTATGAATTTTATTTCATTTTTTTCATTAACAAATTATGGTCTCACATACTTTCAATTGATTTTGTCAGTTTCGAGGGGTTCCTTTTTTGGTTTTTTTAAGACTAAAAAGTGTGAATCACATTTGCAAGGTTATGAATCTGATAAATCTCTCGTCAAATATCATTTTTGGTACCAGTTACAATAGAATCTGCCTAGAGCTATTCTTTCTATATCGTAGTTTAGTAGTTAGTAGTAGCCTATACGACCAGTATATAACTTTAACCTTTTTGGCGTATGCAGATCTACTGAATTTGTATCATCACATTCAATGGAATCTTCTTCTTCACGTTTTCTTTTCGTACCATGATTTCCCATTTTGAAATTAGTTACTGTTTACACTAAATTACAGTTAAAATGAATTCATTTCATGTATTCAAATCAAATAAATAAACAATTTTATCGTGTACCATTAACGCCTTCTTTGCTAGCGAGGCGTGGAAGGGACATAACTCTACTTGAGGTTTCAGACCACAGTCGCGATACAGATTACTTTGCTTTGAAGTTACATTAGCCATTATTGTGCTTTAATTGATTCTGGTTAGAAGGTATAAAAATGTTTAATAAGGACAAAGTTGTGATCATATACTTTTTATTTACATTGCCTAGTTTCAAGTTTAATTATCAATACAATTAATCCTGCAATCTTTGGACATAAAATATAATAAATCTTCACAGGAGAATGTCATTCTGGTACACATCATAATTATATCTTGTAAATCTCTTATTATTCAAAATGAAAGAAATAGCTTGAAATAATCTGTGGTCTTTGAAGTCGCAAAATCGTCATTTCAAGGATTCTAAATCCCTTGAAAGTATCAGCATCCACTATAGACGATATATAAACAAGCCAGCTAATGTTGGTTAAAATTTTTTTATGGACCCCTTTATATTCCAATTGAATCTGTGCTAGGAGATTGTCAACTTTTGATATTCGTTTATTTCCTAATTAAATGTTAAATAATCAGTACATATTAACGTGGAGTAAGCCATGAAAAATTAAATATTGTTTAAAAAATGCAAATCACGATCAGCGGCTTTATCAAATGTGTTATCGAAGCACAGGATTTCAGTATTATTGTGATAAGTAAAAAGGATCACTGCAGTCCATCCAAATTTGTTTCCGTGGAAACATAAAAAATATTACATGTAATTCCTAATTAGCAAACTACTCTAAGAGTTTGATGTTTGTACAAACCTTCCATAAATCTTGAACAGTTTATGAGATATGCCCTGGAGGGAATGAGCCAATTTCAATTCAAAGTGCAGATAATAACCGAGGAAATCAACCAAACATACATGACATTTTTAAAAAGAAAACAATTAATTTACATTAGGTGTTATCGTAGCCAATTTTTTCATTGCCCTGGATAACAAAAGTATGAGTTTTGTAAGGTGGAAAATTCAGCATTTTAGTTTTTAAAAAGCAGAATATCTGGAATAGAACTCTATTCAGTTTAACATTGACCTGAATGGGTCCAATATATACTCCAATCCCATTAAAATAACAATATACATATATATATATGATTTTGTTTCTTGTAATACACAGCATACCTGGAATAGAACTTTATAGTGATGCGAATGGGTCCAATGCCATTAAAATAACAAGAAACATAGGAATTAACACATTTTTATTTTTGAAAGGAAAGAGAAATAAATCTGTAATAATAATGGCAGAAGAATCAGTGATTGTGATCGCCATGTTCTAGATATGGAAAGACAAAATAAAATACAAAATCTTATAAATAAGAGCTCTTTTTATGGAGCTCATTAAACATACATTATGCAAGAGCTAAATCTGACTATTGCAGGTCTTTCTTTAGGGAAGAAATTTTTTCTAAATTATTAATTAGACATTAATTAACTGATCCAGGCCATAATCAACTCTCGATGGCATCAGATTTCTCCAATATTAAATAGATTAGAAAGGTTCAGTCATATTTTGATTTAATTCTAAAATGGAGGAGTGAGACTTATTTCGAACTACCAGTACAGTGGTTGAAATTATTGAACACGTCTTGCCAAACCTTCAAAGGCTAATATCTTCACTTGCAATAGAGTAATTTGAATGAAATTTACAAATTAGTCATTTTACATTATCTATTTTCTAACTAGTATAACAAGAATGGCTAGCTCTTTATCTAATTCTTACATAATGTATCTTTAATAATATTAATTTTATACTGTAATTTTATTTCTGTGACCAATATAGGTCTATCTGAACTGAAATGGACATGCAAATTCATAATGCAGTACAATAAATAAAAGCATGACACCAGCATTTAATGTTAATTTCATGTCATGTGAGTGAATGGCTCAGGAAAATTTAAAATTGAGCTGCATTTGAATGATGTAATATTTATAGAAAATAGACCATTGTCTCGCATTACATGTCATACTTTTGATTTGAAAACCAGTGGGGAAGTGTACATGTACATGTTTATATAAATTAAAGCCAAACTCTTCCAGTTATCTTGACGGTAGTGGCTCTAAAGTAAAGAATAACAAGTGCCATATAAAGTATTATAACAAAAGCTTTATAGCATGACAATCTTAAAATAAAAAGGAAGTAATATATTCTTGTCTCAATCTTCAATCAAAATGTACAAACAGTGAAATAACTAACAATATCTACATCAAATAACTCATTAAATGATAAAAAAAGGATTAAGTACAGAGCTTTTAGTATCAGCTCCCTTTTTCAAACATATTATAGAATGTTTTTGTATTGCTGGCTGCATAAAATTTAAAAAATAAAAACTAGTTAATACTTAATCCTCATAATTTGTTCAATCTTGCAGAAACAGATTTGCATTTTATACTAATGAAAGAAAAATAATGATAAAAATAAATTTGACTATCATAAACGGTATTTAAACAAAACAACATAATAATAAGTAAAATTTATACAGTATCCAGCAGTCTGTTTTGTTCTGTAATATTATTATGTTCAAAACAGTAAAAACATAGATGTATAGACATATATTCTAAAAATGATGAAATACACTGATGACAATTTAATATAGAAATGTCATAATTATTCACTAATGACAGTTTAATATAGAAGTGTCAGAACTATACACTGTTAACACTCAGTAACTACTTAAGATCTAATGTCAGCACTATACACTGTTGAGAGTTTAATATAGAAATTTCATATGTATATACCCTGTTGATTGAATTTCATATCTATACACTGTTGACAGTTTAATATAGAAATTTCATAGCCATTGACTGTTTACAGTTTAATATAAAATGCCATTATACACTGTTGATTGAATTTCATAACTATACACTGTTGATGGTTTAATACAGAATGGCATAAAAATAGACCGCTGACAGTTTAAACATACATTATGCAAGAGCAAAATTGGCCTATTGTAGGTCTTTCTTTAGGCCTGAAATGTTATAAAAACTATTAATTAGACATTAATTAACTTATCCAGACCATAATCAGCTCTCGATGTCAAGGCTTACCTGCCATATTTGTTGGATTACAGTCCGATTTGCTGCAAAACTTTCCTTCGTGATTAACGATTAAATGGATAATCAAGACTATTAGTTTTGTCTTATCGACTACAGTAAGGATGATCGAGACTAAGCGGAACTTTCATCCGCTTAGTTCTCGGTTCATAGTGGATCAATTTGACTGAAATTTTCAGCAAGTTGCCTTTACATTATGTAGTTTTTAACTATTATAGTGATAACTGCCAACTCGTTATCTAATCTCCCATAATGTATCTTTAATATAGAAATGGCATAACTTTTCTGTTGACAGTTTAATATTGAATGGCACACACTTTCGATGTATCATAAAAATTAATTTGCAAATGGATTACTGAAACTCAATTAAAGCACTTTTTTTCAGAGAAGTTTGTTCAAATTTAACGGTTTCGGAAATAAATGTTCGCTTAAGTATACAAATAGTTTGTCAAGAAGCTCATCTCACACTCAACCAGACAACTATATTGCAAATGTATACCTGATTCAGATAGTTGCTTGGCACTAGAATAAAGGGTTCTAAGAGTTTTCTACAAGGATTTAGCTAGTTTATCTGACAGATAAATGAATTATGGAATTTGTTTCTAATGTTTTCCATTAAATGTATATTAAACCAATATGATAGTCAATATACTATGGTATGTTAGAAGTCTACAACAATGCCTCAAAAACGATGATATCACAAAATTAACTGAAACAAGAAAGCACTGAAGGTGTTCGATGAAGCTTATAAAAATATATGTCTGTCTAAAATAATAACATCTGCATACTTTCATTCATTTGTAACAAAACTTATTGAACATTTATAATATTTACAAATCTATATTCTCACTACAAACTTAAATATAACTATATAAATATACTACAAAAAACCTACAGATATTAAAGATATATTCCCTCAGGCATAATTAGGTCATCTGTTTGATTTTCAAATCAAAAAATATTTGTAACCACTAGAAAAATTAAAATATATAGACTTTAGTTGTAGAAGTCCACAATTAATTTAAGAGATCAACCACCATGCCTGCCAGTCTATGCATTACTCGCACATTGCCCGGTAACAACTGATCTTTTTACATGTGTGCTACATAATTCTGTCTATGTTTGTAGATTTAAATGGAGTTTCTCTCTAAGTATCTTGTATGATATGACATTTTTGACAATAAATATATTTTTCCTCATAGTTTGAATAAATTTATTTTCCATTTGATAGTTGTGTATTTAATATTATGACGGTTTCGGACTTCTGAGGAAGTATATCCTTAATATAAATGCACTTAAATACGGATATTGGCACATTATACATACGAGACCAGGAAAGTAATACCTGTACATATTTGTTATTATTAACTAGGCTTTATCACACCTTTTCCCTGAGTATATTACAATACCCTATAGCATCTTATAGTATCTTCTGCCTAAACATAGTATATGTTTACCTTATTCACATGTCAACTCCTCTACAAATCATAACATTGATTTTTCAAGCCTCAATTGTCATTTGCATCTTTGGAAAATATCTGCCAAATTGAATATCTAATATTATATTAGGAAAACAAAACTAAAATGTCAACAGTAGATAATCTCCCAGCTTGGTTTGTTTATATTGACTGGAGGATGCCGAATAAATCATATTTTTGTAAATACTAAATGCAATTGAACAATTTTTAGATTGATATTCATTTTAGAGATTCAACTTTGACAAGATTAAAATTTATAAGAGAATCACATTCCTGCAAATGACAATCGGCAACCTTAAGAGATATAAGAAATATATATGGAGATTAATGGGTGTACTAATGATACTTATGCTCGTTATTTCAAGGATTTTGTAGTTTATTCATTTGATCTGTTAGAAATAAAGATTTAATGTCTTTAACCTGTATAATATCATTTGTAGATGAGTTAACTGACTATTTTAACTATGAGTTGATATGTAGGCAAGATAACTATAATTTAGAAACATAACCCTAAACATCTAAGTATTATCACACTGTTTCAATTTCTGATTCCACTTTAAAATCCAACACTTTGCGGTATCCCAACTAGGTAAGGGCCATTCAAACTCATTAGGAACCACACCATTGCATTTGGATTCAAAAAAAGCAAATAAGGGAAACCAAATTCTTGTTCTCTTTGCATCTCTTTGCATAAGGGATCTGTTATTTGCTAGTGTATGGTAGTACATAAACAATCTAGAGGTCAAGTAGAAAGCCATAAATACATCTATAGAATAGTGTTCATGAGCTGCCAGAATAAAAAATATACCAAACAGGTTCAAAACCCACGTCATCATATGTAAATAGTACATTCTGTGCTTGGAGGAATCTGAAATACATAAAGTATGGGTAATAATTAATGAAACAGTTTAATGTTGATACCTTGTTTCTTCTCACAGGAGCCACAGTGGCTCAGTGGGTAGGATGCTGGCTCACAAACCAGGAGGTTATGGTGTTGGTAGAGATAGTACCTTGGGATTTTCCAGCATGGTTTCAGTTTGTCAGGGGTGCAGAAAGTAGGGCCTAGTGAGGATAAACCAAGGTCCTGTGTACAAATTAGTGTGCACGTAAATGAAACCTTGACAGTTGGAATATAAAATTAGAGTAGGTCGAAGCGCTGCTGTCTGAACAAAATGTCCTTCATAGTACACCACATTTTGTATGCTTTTCATGAGGTGATATTTTCTTAAGTGATGTTACTTACTGGCGTTTTTTATATCAAATCATTTATATCATGGTCCAATGTGCTGATCTTGGGGACCACATATTATTATATGATCTCTTCCCCCCCTCCCCCAATTGTTGTTCAGAGTATGACATTGGGTGCTCCCCGACACAAATAGCGGCCATGTCTAGGGCTGGGTATCGATAGTGATTTTTACTATCGATAATTGGCAATGAAATGTTGGTCGATAATTGATAGTATCGAAAACAAACTTACTTTCACAGACATCATCAAGACTGGATACAGTGTAAGTTCAAAACCATACGAAGTTGCGAAAGATCGTTTGCTCCTGTCTAAGGAGATTTATTTGAAAACATTAATAAAACTTGTTATATCACGTATATACGTAAATTGATGTTGTTTATTATTAAAATAATGCAGCCGTGGTTCCGAATGAAGAAATATCGTAAATAATTATGTTAAGGGACCAAAATGAACTTGTTCCGATTCAAAATATTGCGTACGTGTGCGCGAAAATATCAATATGGCAGACAAATTCTGAAGCTTGCAAAGGGAAATAACTCTAACTTTATTTACACATCCGGGTATCTCCGATTTAGCGATATTCAACAATAATTTCTTCAAAACTAAAGTAACGTTTCAATGAGAGTGAATTTATGAAAACGGCTGTTCATTAAGCAGTCACAATTTTGTTATGTGTTACATTGATACTTGATAGTAATTAAAGTGAGCGGTGTATTATGATTAACTGAAAGAAAACATTGACATTTCAGACGCAAGAAAAATAGACGAAGAGCGATAATCGATAGTAACCCACCGCTATTGATAGTGCTTTTCTGGGCCGTCCAATCGATACTATCAATTTATATCAATATTTTACCCAGCCCTAGCCATGTCGACGTTGAAATGAAATAGGAATTTATGGGTCCCACGGGTTTGATAGGCGATGGAGCAATGTACTTGCTGCAACCCACTTTCCTTGGGTCTGCGTAGATTGCCTAATATTCATAATCTATTATCAACTTACATTCTGTTATAAAAAAGTTCAACAAAGTTAGTATCACAGTATGACCACTAAACATATAATCACCACAAGTTCTAACACCTTGTAAATTCATACCAAATCCTTTCCATATTTCAAATGTTCTGTGTAACCGTGTCCACATGTCACCATACCTCTAAAATATACAAAATGCATGAAATTATCTATTAGTATTAGTCCAGCCACAATACATGTGTATATCGCTGATTCATGACTTGCTATTTTACACCACTGTAGCAAATCTGAGATCCACAGTGGCTCAGCGTGAAAGGTGCTAGCTCACTAACTAGGAGATCCCAAGTTCGAACCCAGTGTTGGCTGGGAAAGTTTCTCAAGATTTTTCAGCATAATTGCCTACTTCTCAGTGCTGCAGGATAGAGAGCATTTCAAGGAACAATGAATAATCATTTGGATAGGATGAAAAAAAAACAAGAACCCTTGGCATGAAAAGTAGACGGAACCTACCATCCAGAAAATTTTCCTTCACAGCATACCGTACATGTAAGACATATGCCTATTTTCATTAGCCTGATCATACATGTGTACTGTACTGAAGCCTTCACATTCAACCATTCTGACACCCCTGCCCAAAGCCAAATGGGAAAAACAACTACATTTGAATAATTCCAAATTTTGCTCAAATCTATCATGTGGATAAGGGGAAGAAGTTGAAAATGACTAATTGTTTATGAAAGAGTACAGTGACAGTATGTGTTCAGTAGGCATACTCAGCATCAGCCATACTTGTAACAGCTACATGTTAACAGTTTGTTGTCTTTATTAGCCTGGTTGGTGAGGACAGTAGGATTTTAAACCCCATTTCATTTCAGTTAACAGATGTACACGTATGTCTTTGTTATATTATTTATTGTAAACTTTTCATCACTTACAGCTATATTTTTAATCTTCCTGTTCATTAGAAACAATTCTCCTTCAAATTCAACTAATAACATGTACACTAGTAGGACTGGCAGAAAATATCTATATTGCCGATAATTGTTGGTAAAGCATTTTGAAGATCGATATTCCATACAGTTTTAAAATATCGATTATTGCACAATTATAGGTACTTCAATTATTACAAAAAAATCCTAAGCACTGTATTCTTTGCAACGGGTGCTTAGGCCTAGAACTGTAATTAAACTGAATAGTCATAATTACACAAACACGTTTTGTTTTTTTTATGCGAGACGCCACCGCTGAGAAATGTTTGCCACTTATGATGAGAGCCTGGCATGCCGCATTGTGGCGTAATGGCGCAACGTATTGTGCCACATGGAATGTTGAAATCATATGGATCTCACAGTGACCAAAGAGTCAAAAACATTAATGAAGCCATATGTGTGCATGAGAAATCACTGCAAGAAATAAACTGTTACAGGGAACTGGATGAAGAATCCATTGCATGTGATGAAAGGGAAATAACTACATTTTACTCATTATTATTCAGGTCATAAGTGACAAAAATATGGCAAGCGGTGGCGGTTCTGTCTTCCAAACGAAATTGATCGAGATTTTTTCAAGCATGGTTCAGATAGGACGCAGAAGAGCCCTTGACAGTTGGAATTTGAAAAAGGGCACTGCACAGCCATTTAATTGAAAATTACCATTATTAATTAGTCTCAAAATCCAATTCCAAAAAACAAGGGAATGGATTCCAAACACGTCATACATGTACAAGTACAGAGATACGGTACCTAAGCACAGACAAGTCAAACTTACCTTTCCACTGCACTGTAAATGAACACCGGGTACTGACATAGATGTTATTAACATAGTAAAAGAACGGAGCAAAAATACTGTTCCAGCCAAGGAGAAAAATCTTCTCATTAAAATAAACCTATAATGTTGAAAAAAGTATATTAAAAACTGAAGTAAAGATTATAAAGGTCAGGTATCATTTAATTAATGTATTTACAGAAAGGAGTTTATTATAATTGTCTGGTGAACACATTTGGAATTGTTGTTAATACGTTTAGAAATACTGGCCATGTATGAGGGAAAGCCTGTGCACATTGACAATTGTTTTTTTGCTTCCGAAGAATGAGCAAGTTTTTGGCAACCTGAGATACTGTCGATATGAAGGCTATTTGCAGGCAATGGTACAGGGATTACCACCCTTAATATGGTACATATGTACATGTTTTTAGCAATTCGTCACCAGTAACAGAAGTCAATAGTGGCTGTAGTACAAGTGAGGAAAATTTTGCAAGGGCTGATGTTTTCACACAAAATATAGTATGGTACCTTGGATTTCTGTTTTATCTGAACAAATTGATAGATTCTTCTAACCGGGATACTAAGATTTCTTCAACCTGTAAACTGCATTTGAGTATTCGTATTTTGGGCCTACATGTATATATGTACAGAAGATGTACATATGCAGTCATTGTTTTTTGAGGCGTGCGATCGCCCATGAGCACCTACTGTGCACCTGAATGTCGACCGAGGGAAGGTTTTTCTCTCTCGCCTTAAAGTTAAAATCGCTCTCAAGATTTACAAAACTTGGTACATGTACATGTGTATTTTTTTTTTAAAAGAGTGTGAAAGACCCACATTCCGATCACCCCATGCTGTCATTGTGAAAATTTATTTGGTGTATTCGATTCTGAAAAATATGTTGCTAAAAATAAATGGCGCCTATGCATCATAGGTTAGTTTAACTGAAATGTAAAGTAGAATGATGGAATTTTTAGCGTTTATGATTATATTTTGAATAGAGGTTATGTTTTTAAACAAAATTTATACAAGCTACATTTAGAAATGTTGACAAGGATTTCTACTGGAATACCGTGACTTGACTGTATAAGTGCTATTATTTAGCAGACGATGTTTATTATCATTTATGTAACCAGGAATGACCCCTAACACGCAGTTATTGATCTTCAGAACCATTTCTCAAACATACATGTACAACTAATCACTTCCCTTAGTACAGTATCAGTTCACTCTCCTTAATTTCTAAATCACTCTTCTTATCGAAACTGGGGGACCTTTTTAGGGGAGCGATGTTTTCAATTTGTTCATTAAGGAAGGGGCGCTTTTTTCGGCTCTCTAAAATACAAACAAGGACTGCATATGTAGGGGTGATGATTTTCCGTTTCAGAAAATAGCAAATTCCGTTTTAAGTATTTTTAATTCCGTTATTTTCCGTTTCAGAGCTGACCATATTCCGTTTTTTCGAGATAAAATGTTATTTTATGAATAAATGAATAAAACATCTTAAAATGCCTTTTATTACAAAACGGATCATTTTAAACCAATGATAACAAATGTTGAATTGTGAATGACTTGTCATGTTCAATGACTAGTTATTCTTTAATCCTGTTTCCCGAATTAAATAACAGAAAATTACATCTTGTGAGCTCGTTTCATCTTTTAAGCAGACGAAGCCATTTTTCTCAGCTGCTAGGTGTAGTCGCGATTTATCCAGACATCTTCGTAGTTACTACCGTTTCTTCGAGAATAAGGGCTGGATTCACAAGGCTACGGTATATTTCTGATGTCACGTGGTTAATGCGGATAAACACGAGTCACGAGCCCGGCAGTAAAATAATAAGTAAATGAAACGATTTTTACTTTTATGAAGTGACAGAAGTTTTTTTTAAGACATATATATACATTACAATGTTTAATTCAAGTTAAACTACAGAGTAATTTTATAATGGGATACATGAAAGACGGGTTTTCGTTTCGATTAAAATTATGATTCCTAAATGATGAAATGAAAGTAGCGAAATACTAAAATAGACAGTAACAAAACCACGCGATATCATTCAATATTTCCGATTTTTATGAATAAAAAGATGAAATACTTGGATAACTGCAAAATTATTTTGAGTTTGTGTTTAGTATCAGCAAATATCGGCTTTTCCGTCTTTTTCCGTGTGAGATTTCAAATTCCGTTTTGAGTGGACAATTCCGCGATTTCCGCGTTTTTTCCGCGATCACGGAAAATCATCACCCCTACATATGTAAACCTTTTTCTTAAAAGATCTGGGATACCGGTCTTACTGAATAATATATGTATCTCAATATATAATAAGGGCCTACATAATATATAGTCTTCAGAAAAAGAGTTTAAATTTATGGAATTTACCTGTGTTTATGAAAAAATAATAAGACACACCAGCAGACTGCCATTACAATACCAACTAATTCACATGCTTCAAATGCCCACGGAACATAAGGCATATTATCCAGAAACAGATCAGGCAAAGGTGGAAATTTACGCATATCAGGTACCCTGTCATGGACGATCACCATCACAAATGATGTCAAGAGGAAGACAAAAAATACATAGAAAAAACTTAATACAGTTTTCCAGATTTCAGCATCTAGAAAATTTGATCTTACACGACTACGAGGTTTGTTTGCTGGTTTCAAGAACGCAGAGTCATCACTGTCAATATCTTCTGATTCAACACTAGTTAACCTCTCCACATGGATATTTTTACTCCTAGTTCTTTTTCTAGTGTAATTTTCATCCACACCATTATTTGTTACTCCCAAAGTTCTTAAAGCTGCAGTATTTTCCCGTTTTAAAGCAGAGAGTTTAAGTGAAAGTTTCTTTAAATGGCCAAAAATAGGTATTTGTAAGGGAGGATTTTTTAAGTCATCTTCAGTTAATGATAATAAAGCTATGCCATCTACTTTGTGCTGCTCACAGAGTAATGGCACATACTCATCAAATCCTCCTTCTTTAAGCCAACTTGCCACATCATCACAGCTCCATTGCAAAACATCACTCATTATTGCTTCATCTAATTGACTATCTAAAAACTTCTACCTGTAATAGAATAGGAAATGAAATGAAATGGGGGTTACATTATGTAACGTCTTACTTTTTTTACACTACAGGCTAATGAAAACGGGCCAACATCTTGCAGTGTGCTATGAGAGAAATTAAAGGCAGGACAAAGGTCTACTGTAATTTCAATATTTAAGTCAAGGTATCTAGGCATGGGTTCCATGTTGGCCGTATATGACCGAAATTGGATCTGATTAATCAGTTTTTCTGCACACTGGGAAAATAGCATATTTTTTCAAAACACAATTTCCAAACATGGCTATGATTGACACTCGCCATGTGACTATAAAATTCTACGGCCATAAAGTCAGCAGCAATCAGTTCGCAATAAACAGTTTCTATTTTAATTAAGAAGTAGCTACCTAAAATGTGACAAAACCATAAATTTCTGAGACAATCAAGACATTTAATTGACCTTTTGCCTAATATTACCAAATATCACCCAATTCTGACCCAATACTACAAAATACAACCAGATACAAAAAATCCATCAATTACTTCAATATCAATTGTACACTATAAAAAGTGCAAACATTTGAAATATCTACTTAAGTTAAATGAATGACTAAGCTATGAATAAAGAATTTATTCTCCACAAACAAACACGTTGTTATTCAAATAATTGTACTTTTATCTAATTTTTGGGTGGTATTAGCCCATTATTTTAGTCTTACAGAAATAGATTGCTTTTTAATAGTAGGCTTAACAACTGTAAGTATTTGCAATCGAGTGATGCAGAATTCAATCCCGTCACACTTCTGTCGATCACACTTCTATGGAGTGAATAGAATTGTGACATAATTAAACACAACGAATATGGAATTTTTAAATTCCATATTCGTTGTGTTTAATTCAAAATTCCATGTCTTAAATCAAAGACATCAATTGACAATCACATTTGTCATACATTTTTTCCAAGTCTTCCATGAAGTAATTCAATGTTTTTTATATAATTGAAATATTATTTTATCTTTTTCACAATAATGAGGTGTAGTATGTAATTAGTAGTGTTACTGGGTCTGGGTAGTATTTGGTAAATCGTCCTGCCCGTGTAAGTTAAAGTTAAAAGTTAAACTTAAAGCCAACCATTTTTGGTACCGGTAACTAAATGGAATACACCATAGGCATAGTCGTACATTCTGGTACAACAGGACGTCAAATTATATTGTTAAAGGTCACTTTTAAGGTGAATAGCAAAGCTATGAACAACCAATGAACCATGTTCATGTTGAAGTTTGGACCCTGATTTAAGTTCAACAAAGTACAAAACTTACTCTCTTAGCCTTACTAATACTAGCCAAGAACAAAAATGTCACGACTCACAGATGTCACAGTAAAAATGTACCACATATCTGAAACTCAAAGTGGAGGCCTGGGTGAGGGATGTCAGATATTTAGGACAGTCCAAATTGGGGAAAGGTGACTGGCACTCGGTCAAATGAGACATACACATTCACTGAAAAAGTTGTGGAAGGCAATCCACACCACAACATTCACAGTGCACACACTCACGTAGGCTACGTAGCCAAAAATAAACAGGATAGATCGGACCTTCACCTACTACAGGTTACTAGTTAGAGTTACTAGTACATTGAAATCACAATAATATTCGAATTCCATTTTCAACTTGATACGATTTATTTTATAGACCCGTCAGTTTCTGAAATTCATTAAAACACATACTGAACGGTATCCATAAACAATAAATAACATTCATGTTTTTTGTTATGCTGAATGTTTTTTTGTAATTCTGCGTCTCTTAGTAAGAGTCTTACCAATAGGCTACTAAATCTGTTATCACGTGTCCCTTTCATGGGTTCAGACCACCCAAAATACTCTCGTTTGTTTGTCACTCACCAAACGAATGCCACCCCTTCTATTTATATTCCTTCTCTATCCTTCTCATTTTGTATGACCATTGTTTAATATTTCGGAGACCTAAATTTTCATTTTTGAGAATATTCATGATTTTGAGTCGGACACATGTTTACTAGTATTTGCTACTTCCAGTTTGTTTTTCTCAAGATTTCCATAGTCAACCTCATACATACCTTTGGCCAAGGCGTTAATTGCAACGTGTTGCTTCGTCTATGGTAGAAAGTGTACAACCTAACGAAAGTTTGGGGAAGTTTGAGACGAGAAATAATTTATATATGTGGAAATTTGTAGTGATCTGTACCCAAATGTTTTAAAATAGAACAACCGGAAGCTGCTGGATCGCGTCAAACCGGCGAAAAGCTGGATCGTTCAGATAATACGACGGGCAGTCAGAAGTCAATTTATCAAAGAGATGTCACCGAAAGTCTGCATCATATCGAACAAAGCTTTAGCCTATTTACGGTAGCTGTCGGGGAAAATAAAATATTCTCCAGTGGCTTGAAAGCAGCTTGTCGAGTGGCGCTTGCTGGTTTTGAATGAAACCTAATTTTTGTCTGCAATGGACGCCGAATGTTGACTTAATCTATTTTTGTCTGATATTCATTTTGGAGATGCAACTTTCTCACACAGTGTATTTGCAAAAGATTAGCTATCACTCAAATAACGATCAGAAACTTTCACCGAATCGGAATAGTAAAATTTGTCTAATTTGGACGTCTTATCATCGCCTAACTGGGCGAAATGGTTCATTTTAATCAATGGACGAGTTAGCCATTTGCTGTGTTTTCTCGGGAAATAAAGCCGAAAAATAAAATAATTTTGTCTAAAATAAATATTGTCTTAGATGAGCAAATAATATGTTCTCACATATTTAGGCAATAATTTGTCAAATTAATAAGAATTTGGCGTAAACTTGATTTCGAGCTCCATGTTTTCCGAACACGTGAGACCCTATTAGTCGACTTCTCTTCTCGGTGACCTTGTCCTATCGCTAAGATTGCAGTGTATCTTTAGGTAAGTAAATGCGAATTGTTGGATGATAAATTATCTGTGTAAACTGTCCTGGGTTAATTGCCACTTTTATTTGGAAGGGGTAAAATGCTGGAAAGGTTTTGGTACATCTTGTTCACCATATAAAAAGATTGAGCGTCAATAATTTAGCAAAGAATTAGATGAGCATACGAAATAGACACGCTTCCTGTGATAACCTACACATAGTACACATGTAGAATCCACACGTTCACGTTCTACGATGTCAATGTCATGAATGACAAGTGGAACTGTGAATGAAAGCTGTGTCGTAATTATGTTTTCTTTGCACTGGGAACTAACGGAAGTTGGATTTAGCGATGAAGATATTGGAAATGGTATGAATGAAGATCATGACGAAAGATTACGATAATAACTTGGGATAACCGGCGCCGGCAGGTTAGACTAGACAGTAGACTTGACAGTGGCACTCTTGAATTTTATTAACCAGATCTTATCCTGATAAAGCTGATTGAAAGGGCAATTGTTTAGAAATGAAATGATGAATGAATTGAGCTAGAAATTAAATGACAGCATAATAATTCAGGTAGCACGTCATTTCAGTCCCGGGTCATTTCAGACTCAACACAGGCGACGACCTTTCGGACTCAGTTGACGACTTTTCGGACTCGGTCTGGCGACATTTCGGACCCGGACGAAAAATTAAAAGACTGTTGAACATTTGTAATAGATGTTTTTTTTTTGTTTTTTTTTATTTTTGTTTAATGTGAGTCCAATAGTTGTTTTGTTTTAATTGATCAGCCATTCTTGAGACCGCTAATAAAAAGATAACACTAATTTTTTGGTGATCGAGTTCTGTAACACGTGTGCGCTTTAAGTAAATAGATTATAAAGTCAAGTGGCGTGGTTTCGATACCACATTTGTACTTGAATGTACATGCTCCTCAAACTGCTAAAGAACACTTAAGTTACATTTTGCCTTCTAATTTGTTCACACATGAACAATCATATACAATTAGTGAAATTGGTAAACTTATTTCATTTGCATGAGAGAAACCCTTCATTATTGTGAATTTCACTAACTATCATCATGATTTGCTTTCCAATTCATTTATTTTTTTGTACATGTACTTCTCCCAATTAGGATATTACATTGTTGTGGTAGTCACTGTCTGTCAGTCAAGTTTGTAAGACTGACTGAATATCAATGTCACCTTCAAAATGCATGATAGGAATGTTCAAACAAATGATTTCTAAATCAGAATAATTTAATTCAAAATAAAATTATCAATTATTTCCAAAGTAACATCTTGTTAATTACTTGGGGCTGGGTCACTGATGAGTCATCGCACTAGTCCTAGTCCTATGCCTATAGCATAGAAAATTAATGGGCACAGTTAATTCCTGGAATATTTATAAAGATTTTCTGTTTCAGGGTTAAACAAAAAATATGGCTCCACCAAGTTACTCAGATCTTGGCAAAACTGCCAGAGACATCTTCTCAAAGGGTTACAGTAAGTAAATTTGATGATGGTGTGGATGAAACAGAAAAGTAGCAAGTTAAACGCAAATTATTTCAATTTGTGGCTAAGATCATGACTTAAAGCATCGATGCGTCATTTGCATTTTTGGCTGAAAGTAAAATATCAATTTTCTCGTGTCTTAATCAGTGCTAATATACACTTACTCAGATTGATTATGTAACAATCAAAATAACAATGCTAGATAATCTCCCGACTTGGATTAATCAGATTTGTTTACCCACAACAAAATATGATGGTGGTGGGCTTAGGACATAGTGAGCAGTATAGATTGATGAAATTCCACTTATATTTGTAAATACTGAATGGAATTAAACCATTTTTGGACTGGTATTCATATTATATTATAGTGTGCAAGCAAGGGATTCAATGCGCTAAAATGATGCAATGAGACTTAATTTGTACTGGCTCAGTCCGGCTGCCACTATCATAGAATGCTGAATCAAATACTTATAGGCCTTCTAAGATACCGTACTTTAATACAAGAATAATACAGTATTTTGATTTTGCATTTAAATTTATTAGTGCTAGAATTAGATATTAATTGGATATGTACATTTATTTATATGTTTATTTCAGACTATGGTTTCTGTAAGATCGAATGTAAAACAAAAACAGATAGTGGAGTACAGTTTACAACCAGTGGTAACTCGAGTACGGATACAGGCAAAGTTGGTGGAAACTTAGAGGCCAAATACAAATGGGATGAGTATGGTACGATATAGGAAATTACATCTAATTTTTAAAAAATATAGCACAGTCCAAGCATATTAATCAGAAAACACAGATCATGGTGTTTTTTTTAATATTATTTTTTATGAGATTCGCTCCACCAGGAACAGTTATTCACGATTTCTAGGGAGTAATCAGGAGTAGGTTCCACACCCAGGTGCTATATCAAAACATCTGCAGTACTGTCTAGCTCGAATCTAGGAGCTCTTGGGTTCGCTCCTGTTGTTGACTGAGAAATTTCCTCAGGATTCAAAGTGTGGTTTCCTCGTCAGGTGCAGGACAGAGGGCCTGACATGGAACAATGTCTAGTGGTTCAGATAGGACGGAAAAACTGAGGTCCCATCTACACATAGGTGTGCATGGAAAAGAACCCATGACGGTAGGAATTTGAAATAAGAGTAGGCCATAGTGCTACTGTCCAGGCAAATTTCTCATTAAACCCCATTTCATTTCGTTTCAAATCTGTTGTTTTATGGCTTGAAAACCATTTTAGTCACTATTGCACCTCATTTATTCTTCAAAGGCAAATTTGGATTGTTCTGTATCACTAAAATTGGAAGATACCGCAGAATATTTTCACTTTTTAATGCATTTCTTATCACACACATTGCATGCCAAAAAAAAGTGTTTCAGTAAATTTATTTGTAAAAAAAACTTCCCATTTTTTCAACATCAAATTGCCAGAGAACCCTACTCATTTTGTTTGTGTGGTCTTAATGATCTGTTTCTCTTTTTTTTCAGGACTTACATTCACAGAAAAATGGAACACAGACAATGTTTTATGCACAGAGATTAAAATTGAGGATCAACTTGCAAAGGGTCTTCAGCTCGCATTTGATACATCTTTTGCACCCCAAACAGGGTATTTAGACTTGTATTTTCTTCAATTTGTAATATAGTTTATTTGATATCTGTACATGTAGTAGCTGTAAATCATTCAGATTTGTTCAATTACAACACCAAGAGACTACATTATCATCCAATAATATATTTCTTGTGATGTATTGTATTTAGGCGAGGTTTCCAACCAAGAGTAATAACATTGAAATCAAATTGAACCACATGGATAATCCCAAAATGACATAGTTTGTGTTGAGTGGACGTGAAACCCCATTTCTCTCCCAAATATATTTCTATATTTTTTGTTTAAGATTGAAATTGATAAATGAAGTCTTGTACACCACTCTTTCATCTCAAAAATGTCAATTCCACATTTCAATATTAAAAGTTAAAATCAGATTTGATTTACTATATGACAAGTTGATATATTTTATATCAGAAACTGATTTTAGATTGTCCATACATGTATGTTAAAATTAGTTTTATTATGTAGATTACAAAGGATTATTGATAATCAGCATATTTTATTGCTCAATAGATATACCTGATACAAAGGGATTGATAGAAACCGATAACCTCTCCCAACTTAAATAAGTAAATATATATTTTAATGGTGTAAACATTAAATTAGTGCACAATAAGACAAATGTAGATAAAACAGTAATTAAAATAAAAAAGCAGAAAAAAATAGCTCAGCCCCAGAAAATAAATAAAACACTGAACAAAAAACACACCCACAGCATTAACCAAAATGTTTTTTGTTTCGAGGATTATAAGCTACATGTACAATGTACATATATAATTGTATGTAAATAGGTTTTATCCTTGTCATGTCATTGAATATGGGTTGGGTACATAAAGGTCCTTGAAATGTCCTTGATGTAAGGTTTCATCATTATTTAAAGTAGCAATCTGTGAACATAAATTTAAATAGTTTGTTGTGATTAATATTTCTTTGATTATTGGCTACTAATTATTAAATTTTAGAAATTCTAACTTTTTAAATTATTCTCTTACTCTAACAAATTTTACCTTTAGTTGTAAATACACACAATTTTGATAGCAAACTAATTTAAGAAATTCAAGCAGCTGATCATCAACTGAAACATTTTGAATTCCTTCCATATTTACTAAGATATAAGTTGTCAACATCTGGCATCGTCTGCCGACGACGTATGTAAGATTTAGATAAAAAGTTGACACTTCTTGCTATAATAATAGTTAAAGATGAATTATGTAAGAATTAGATAAAAAGTTGGCTGTTCTTGCTATAATAATTGAAAGATAATGAAAAATAAATATGTTGAAATTTTCATTCAAATTACTTTGTTCTGAATGAACTTATAAGTGTTTGAAGTTTTAACGTAGTGGGGGTTGGATGGCGTGCGCACTGTATCATAAGGTCTGTCATTGAGTCAACTGATGTGGTTTCGATTCCCCAGTTGTACGTGACAAGGAGTAGGGTCGCCTGTCCATCCTCGTGATGGGTTTTCTCCGGGTCCTTTGGTTTCCTCCCACTGCTAAAGACCCCTATGCCCAAGCGAATTATTGAAATAAAATTGAACCATATATTGTGTTGAGTGGACATTAAGCCCCATTTGTCTCTAACGTAGATTGTTTATTATTGTAGCATTGGTACTTGACAATCAAGACTTTAGATGTCAAGTTCTGTAGGATATCATAACTAAGCGAAGTAAATTTTTACATTGTGCAGTGATTGAATGTGATAGGTTTTGTTAGTTCATTTTATAGTAAGTCTATTTCAATGCTGGTGTACAATAATTAAATTTATAAATTTATTTCATTTCAGTAAAAAGAGTGGTAAAATAAAGAGTGCTTTTAAGAATGATAATGTAAATATTAACTGTGATGTAGATTTTGATTTTGCTGGACCAACCATACATGGTGCAGCTGTATTAGGGTGAGTACAAGTTGCTTATCAGTAGAGCCACAAATAATAAAGATTGGAATTATTTGTTCAATAGACCATAACTAATACTTTATTATAGTCGTATTGATATTGTATATAAAATTAATTGCTAAGTTATATTTATAGCAAGGCTTTCATGAGTTAACAGGTTTAATCAGAGGCCGAAGTCTTATTGTTATTGCACAGAAAACCCACCCCACTTCTCTATATGATTTCTACTAAAACTGGTGTAAATCAGCAAAAGTGTGCAATAACATTGAACATGTCTAGTTATTGCACGGTTAAGCTCCACCCAATCTACTAGAGGAAAAACAATCTGCTTATTCAACAAAAAGCACATAGGAAGATTTCCCATCCATGTAACAAAGTTTAGTAACAGCCAATCTTCTCGATGTATTTCATTGAAATGTATACAGAAAGTACTGTTCCCTCCAAACTGTGTCTGTGTAGTCGTCTACAAACGCTTTGCAACAAGCACAAAAGAAAATTATAGACTACCAGTATATTAAAATAAAAAAAATGTGCTACTTCTCAAGACCTGTATTTATTTGCCACTAGGGTTTTATTAGATGTGTGACAAAAAGTTTCCTGAAACTATTTCACAGTTCCATAGTACACATATCTTGCACAGATACTATTGTCACAGCAATAACATTTGTATACCATAAGACTGACAACTAATAATTATAGTAAGGATTAGTGATCCTTGATATAGTTTATTTATATGGTGGTTTTTATCATTATTATAGTTATACAGGATGGTTAGCTGGTTACCAAATGTCTTTTGATACTTCAAAATCCAAATTAACAAAGAGTAACTTTGCCGTAGGTTATACGTCAGGAGACTTCACTCTTCACACAAATATGTAAGTATAAATGATCTGCTAGAAAAATATGTAGCGTAATGCTCTTCATTAGAGTTATTTCCCTTATATCCAGAGACGGACAAATACTTCCATGGACAACTCCTGGATGCAGGGCACCTGTGTGATAAATAGCTTTTACATGGAAAAAATTGTTTAGGAAGAGTCGCTCAGATGTTTCCTCAAGCCATTGAGTAGCTTACCTTACTCCATTAAAATAAAATATGTTGCCTGTGTATGAATGTGCAGTCACATTATCATTCAAAATGGGGATTCCCACATCCTGCCATGCTGTATTTTAGTCAAAATTGTTAAATATGAACTGTAAGAGATCACAGGAACTGTTTCTTTCAAAAGAAACGGAAATGTTTCATAGTGAACCATTCAGAACCACTGCACAATTATTATATATATCTGTGCATGTAAAAGCCACTTATGTTTCCAAGGAAATGGTGAAGGTTACAATAACTGAGAGTGTAAAATACCATGGTTATTCAGGATAACCAAAAAAGTTTTTTTTATGCCAGGTCAGGGGCAGTGTCTTGTCGTTTGAATGGTACGAAAAACCGAGGTCACATGTACACATTAGCAGGCACATAAAGGAGGACTCAACAGTTGGACTTCGAAATAAGAGGAGGCTGTAGTGTCGTTATCCGATCAAAATTTCCCTTATAGTATGGCATGACGGTCTTCATTAACCCTGAGTCAGTGCAGAAAAGTAGGACGATAAACATCATTTCATTTCATTCATTTTTTATGCCTGTTTATTTATAATAGTGTACATTTGGGAAATATATCATTTCATGTTTCAGTAATGATGGTCAAGAATTTGGAAGTTCCATTTATCAGCGAGTAAGCAGAGATTTAGAAACTTCTGTAAATCTATCCTGGACTTCTGGAACAAATGCCACACGATTTGCCCTGGGTGCTAAATACACATTGGATAGAGACGCATCTGTACATGTATGTATAATTGTATTATTGGAAAATGGCAAATTTTGAGCTCTTTGTAGACCGAGAAGACCCTTTTGAATTTTTGAAGCCCTGTCTCGACCTATCAGTAGATTGTTGTCTGTCGAAGATGTTTGGCATATAAACATATGATTAGTCCTTGATATTTGGAAATTGAAGAATTGTAATGCCACTGTCTGAGCAAACTCCTCTTACCTTACACATTAAACTTCATGCCATTCCGATAACTTTGTTGAATAAGAGTGACTTTTTAAATGAAAGATACTCTGCTTGCCCTTGAAACCTTGTTTTAAAGAGCTCTGTTTAAACAACATTGTTAGGAATTGTTAAAATAAACAGTTCTATGGAAAACATTTACTGTAATTTACTCGGAACCCTGTTTCTACAATGATTCTCTTGTCTTTCCTCTAAATTCATTTATCATTTAAAAAATTGTAATACTAAACTGTTACTTTTAGGCTAAAGTCAACAACTCGAGTCAGATTGGTTTAGGTTATTCACAAAAAGTACGAGATGGTGAGTTGTTTTTGTTAATATCTTTTCTATTTTTGTTGAAACTAATGAAAACCAATAAAGTCCAGAATAAAGTCTGAGACAATCCATGCATCATATAACAGTAACATGTTGTCACTATCCCTTACGATTTAGGGGAGACTCTGGCACACTAACCATGAGTTGTCATGTTCTCTCCCGGTGTTGGCTGAGAAAGTTCCTCCGGATTTTCCGTTGTGGTTTCCCCTTTAGCATTGGTACAGGACAGAGGGCCAGATAAGGACCATTATCTAGTCATTCGAATGGGTTGAGAAACTGGGGTTCTGTATGCACGTAAAAAAAACCTTGACAGTAGGACATTAAACTCCATTTCATTTCTTGCACTTCAGATTGTGAAATCTTGTCATGGATGCAAGTGATATTGTTTTTCTATCACAGGCTTGTATGTGACAAGATTATGGTGGCCTTTCTAACCACATGATTCTTGCAGTGTCATAGCGTCGCTCTCCGGGTAGAAGTTCTCAAAGCATAGTGTAATGCATTCAACCCCATTTCATTAAATTAACTGTACCCAAAGAGTACAATCATGTAAACCAGCTGTTCAAAGACTTCAGGCGGTGAAGTGCAGATTACCCATTATCACCAGAAATCTAATAATATACAAAACTGATTAAATCTGTTTTCTTTCAGGTATTAAACTAACTTTGTCAACTTTAATAGAAGGCAAAAACATTAATGCTGGAGGCCATAAAGTAGGTCTTGGAATAGACTTTGAAGCCTAATAGTTTATTGGATACTAGAAAAAGAGTTGATTATGTAATATATATAGTGATGGAAATTCAAGATACATTTATTCTTAAATTGTGAAAGAATTGTTTTTTTGCAGTATTCTGTGTCTTTAGAACTGGTTGACAATCTTGTAATCAATGGATCAATTCTGGTGTTATTTTAGAATTCTTGGAAATGGTTTTTAATTGAACTCAAATATTCTTTCTCAATCTCCAAATATACACTTGGAAGATCCATTGTGAGTTTAGTATCAAGATATTTGGTTTTATTTTGCATTAGTCGCATGCAATGTGATAATTCAAGTTGTCCATACTGTTATAAAATTGATCAATGAGTTTGTTTTGTTCACTGACAAAACATTGTATAAATAAATAATCTAAGTAAACAATTTTTCTGTACTCTTGTTGTCTTTATCCTGATTTCATAGTGGTCTTTATCCTGATTTGATACTAAATAGTGGTCAATGATTTATGGTTTTGTGCGAGTCAAGCGACTATTTACTTTACCCTTGACAAACTCAAACACTGTATTTTGGGCCTGTGAGATGGCTGTGAGTATGGCCTTGCTCAGTAACTAGCAGGTCCCGGGTTGTTTGATAATGTTTCTAAGCCTTGTCATTTGAGTAGGATGGAAGGTCATCCCAAGCTTTGTCATTCAGATGGGATGAAAAAACGAGGTCCCATGTATACCACTGGCATCTGGTTAAAGATCCCCTAATGGTAAAATTGCCCTTGTGGCATATGTGCATTCGACTGGTAGGTTTCATTTTCAGTCCTGTGACTAAATGGAGGTTAGATCCTGTATGGTGCTTGCTCCTAAGGGTAAAAAAGACTTTCAGTAATCCGTCTGTTGAAGGAACCGCAGTGGCTATGTGAGTTAGTAACTGACTCACTAAAGCCTAGCTCACAGCCTGCGTACCGGCAGTCAACGGGGTAAATTTGAGTAAACCTGTGCATGAGACTTTTGCGTCACTTGCTTGGTTCCGCATGTAGAAGATCGCAGACTAGCAGTAGAGACTTTTGGTCCTCCACATAAAAAATTTTCAACTAGTTTCTTGCGCTGGTCTGTGAATGACCAAACCATAGGTCCTGTTTCATGCGTGTCAGTATGTCGGGTTGTGAGCTATGCTTAACTAGGGGATCCAAGAGGTGGTTGAAAAAGCTCCCAGGGATTTCCCAGCCTGGTTTCCCCTTTGTCAGTGGTGCAAGGAAGGACAGTGTCCAGTCGTTCAGATGGGACGAAAAACCAAGGTCCCTTGGTGTACAAGTGAAAGAACCCTTGACAGCTGGACATTGATACGATTAGTTCTGCTGTCCAGGCATTGGGTACGTCTGTCTTCATTACCCTAGTCCAGTTAGTCCAGAAAGGTAGGATGTTGCAATGCTGTCTTGAAATAAAAAATGAACCCATTTCAAGCAAACATATCCAGTATACTGAATCCTGCTCTCCCCCCACACCCATCAAAATAAACAAGGAAAAGGAGTAAATATTTATTGCAAACAACATCCCTTAATTGTCACATATTTTCTCAATTCTATATATCATAATTTCCTTTCTTGTCAGTGTTTAAATTTGTATAATAAATACTTGAAAAACAGAATTATAGGAAAGAGATTTAATAAATATTGTATGGCAATCCTGTACACGTTAATTTAAAACACTGGTCGTCATTTGGGGGGATTTTGAATCCCTTGCCATCTTCATTTTTAATACCAGTCCATAAATGGTTCCACTCCTTTCAGTATTTACAAAAATTACGAAGACTTAAAAATTTCGCAATATTCGGCATTGTTTCCAGACGATATAAACAAGCTAGAGAGTCCTGTGTTGGACAAATATTTTGATGGTCCTCTTTTTAATTCAGTTGAATCCAAGCAGGGAGATGTTTTTACTTCTTCATTAAATGTTAAATAATCAATTTGATTAAAGTTTCGCGGGGGTTGGATGGCCGAATGGTCAGCGTGTGCGCGTTGTATCATAAGCTCTGTCATTGAGTCAAATCTCGTGGGTTTTCTCCGGGTCCTCCGGTTTTCTTTCACTGCTAAATACCCCTACGCGCAAGCGAATTATTGAAATAAAACTGAACCATATGTTAGTCCCGAAATGACCTGGTTTGTGTCGAGTGGACGTTAAGCCCCATTTCTTTCTATCTCTCTCTGATTACACTATCGTGTGGATTTAACCGTGAAAAGTTAGATATTATCTGTTTTTTTTATAAAAAAATAGTTTAACTCGGAAAAAAACAGACAGAAGCTATATAATTTACAGATACACAAGTTTTATCATATTTAAAAACATTAACATTTTGACTTTAAAATATTTCAAGATACCCAATTAAAAAAAAAATCAAACGAAACCATCTCTGGGGTAGATTCTAAACCAACATTTACAATGCACTAAACTTACAAGAAACGGTGAGGGACACACATTTATTATTTTAATGATTAAAAGCATGTGTGTACAATTGACAACTGTCTTCATGCTTCTTGAGTAACAGAATAAATGATAACGTTATCGAATCAATCAATGTTTATGTGCAGAGAGTGAAGGGGCTTCCTGGAATGTCGTCGTCGCCCCATTTGATGTACAGTGTATGTTCACCGATTTCTGTTACTTTGTAGGTCAGTTCGTATGTTGTTTTTGTAGCTTTTTTCAAGAATAGTTCAGCTTCGGGTTGACCATGTTGGTTGATCATACCAACGGACAGAAGTGCTTCACCTGCAAATGTAAAGATGGCGGTTAATCACCCGAACACTACATTAGAGAGAGGTGCGGGGCGGAAGCAATTGCTAATCCTTTTGATTCTGATAAATCCTTTTAGGAGCGTAACGGAACCTATGTCGATTTCGCCTGCCTAACCTCGTGGGGGTTCCCCGAGTCTTCCGGTTTCTTCTCACTGCTAAAGACCCTTAGGCACAAGCAAATTATTGAAATAAAATGTGAACCATATTTGTGTCAACTGGACGTTAAACCCCCATTTCTCTCTTTCCCTATGTCGGTTTTCAGTTAAAACAGACCGGAAGTTTAGATCAACCCATGGTTTGGAATTTCAAATTTATCTTTGCTCTAACCACTGCAAAGACGTACAGGGGATTGTAGCATACCACTTTTTGTTCCGGCATTTATCACAGCATTTTGAACACCAAGCACAACCCTTTCTGAACTTTAGTATCTAACCTATATGCTTTCACAATCCCCGTACTCCACAGGGGCGGACTGAAAAGCTCTGGACCGTTGGACCAACTGGTTTTCCTGAGCGCCTATTGCGGCGAAGAATTATCGCAGAGCGAGGAAACCAAACTACTGTAGCTTGATTCGCCTTTCCCACAACCTACTCGTAGATCATTTTGTCTCCTCTAATATATGTAAATTTTTTCACATTGGGATCAGTTGGCCGCTAACCCCCTGGGCTCACGGGCCACGTCCGACGCCCAGTCCGTCAGTTCTCGCCACAAGAAAATAGTTTCTTACCAGCATCCTTGACATCGATTGTAATTTTTAGTTGTCTGTTTGTGAAAGCTTTCTTCAATCCGGGTCCTCGTACAGTAACTTTACTGGCATCACCACGGAAGACCTTCTTACTACCAGCACCAGCCTTCTTCTCCACGGTCTCAACAATCATCGTAGATTGTTCTGTGATAGGGGCTGGTTTTCGCCCAGTACCTGCAGATTGGGATAAATAGAACATAGAGAATATACATTATAACGCTATACTATACTCGATCATATAACAGAAGTACGAAAGTTCGTTCTGAATTAATATCAAATCCATCTTATGAAAAAATATATATCGACAATATCAAACATAGAGAGAGGGGCATTCAATATATGACATAAAATGTATTCTAGATGCAAAAGCGACCATTCAGTATCAGGTCTTAAAATAAATACATGTAACTGCAAACAAACAGAAGAGTGTCCCAAAGATGAAGACTATACGATAAACTGTACTTCTTTACACGTATATCCAAGTTACATGATTAGTAACTATCAACAAACTCTGTCCAAACAGACACTATCTTCATGCAAAGTTTAATCTGATGCACGGTCATACAATAATTGCATGGAAGCTCCTTAGTTTGGGAATCAATATAAGTTTGTGTCAACTGCATGCACAGGCCCGGTGGAATGGGATGGTGGGAGGGAGGCATTAGCCTAATTTGGACGTAAGTACCCCTTTCTTCAGGTTATTGCATGCAAGTTACTAATCGGTTAGATACAATGACGTAACTAGAAGAGGCTTGATTTTAACATAGATGGGATTGGGAAAATCTTTCAAAAAGAGCTGCTAAATTCCGACTTCAACACAAAATTTGAACATATTTTAATTATTATCATTCTAATCGCTAGGTTGTATAAGTTTAATTGAAGTAAGAACGTAGACTTTCAGAAGAAAAAAAAACCTGCTGTATTCTATTTTTATCCCTGGGTTTAAGAGCCCCGCAGTTGTGAGGGTCGCGATTAGTTTTAACTGAACACTCGATCTTTATTTCAAGTCCCTCTCACTTCCGTTGTATCTATGACAGCATAGATAATTAGAAAAAAAGTCGGACATTCTTTACTTGCGTCCCTTATCCATTAAATAATTCCCCGCTATCAGTTATGGCCAGTTAAAATAATATGAAACGTTTATGGATACATTAAACTATTAATTTGTTTTTGCTGCTAAAGTACTTGCTGTACCGAGTAATATTATTACCCAGAAATATATAGCTATAGCTCCGGGAGGCCCCTGGACCCTATCCCAAGGTTCTAGGATAGTAGCCCTCCCCCACCCACCTTAATCAAGAATTGCTTCCACGGGCCCTGATGCAGGTGGCATCACTGGTAATCTAACCACGAAACATTTATGGACTACAATATATTATGTACACAATAGTTACACAAACGACAACCACAAAATATTACAAAAACCCGATGAACAGCCACTTTCAGTTCAATTGTCAACCAATTAAGCTTTAATTTGTAAAGTTGGCTTTAACTGAAGCGTATTGTCATTAGTTGTTTGATCGGGCTTCAAGCAACGCGAAACAAGCCTCTTTTCATGAATAATGAAGCTCAATCCCATATCCACCAGTACTAAAATAGTTTGCGGAAGATATTTATACGTATGGACAAAAATAGGCCACATATCACCATGCTGGTCGTCTGATGAAAACAGACAAAGGTCACTGGATCAATTCCATGATATTGTTTACCAAAATAGGACAACTAAATAAGATGTACACAAATGCTTAAACTCATAGTTCTAGATAAGGTTCGTATCGGATGTATTTGCGACATACAATCGATTGTGCATGTGCATCTTTGAAAAAAGGGCGTCTTGCTCAAATGAACCCTTAGAAAAACACTGCATGGCGATTGTCGTAATTATTGATAAATGTAATTGAAACTCGTTTTTATTTCTAATCGGACTGGCACATGCTCGAAACAACATAATAATTGTTTTCGTAGAGGGACACATTTATAATTTCAGATGAATGGGTTGTGCTTGACTTTCAACTCTCTACAGCAATTGTCAATATCAGAGTTAAACATGTGTGATCGTGGTTGATCTCCTACACTTATAATTAAAACATTATGGAATTGAACCGAAGACTACCATCAATATAGGCCTAACCACTCATTGAATTTACAATATAAAAAAAAATCATATATTAATAGGCCTAAGTACAATTACAACATCAAAAATAAACCAACTACATCAAAAGTATAGGTCACTATTTGTCACCTACCGCCACCTGTAAATAAGGAGAAACAACTTTATTTAATTTTATTCGTATAAATGGCGATGCTGTAAAATTAGTCATGTGTATGGTGCATAGATAGTGATCGCTAGAATAGCGCGCCTTGCCGAACGCCGTTGTCGATTCTTTAAGAAAGTCCGATAGAGCATGTGTACGTTTAATATGACGAGTAAAGTACTTAACATTTTCTATCAAATCCAAATAGTGTTTGGGAATTATGATTGCAAATTTGTTAACTTAGTGTGTATTTTGTATTTGATTGTCCCTCCACGCCCAACGATGAAGTTGTTAATCTTACAAGTGTGAAATTCGAATCGCCGCGCGTCGAGTACCATTGCTTTTCGCGCCAAAAGTACGGTGTGCAGCGGTAGATCCTACAACCCGCACTTACCAATAATAATATGATTAGCAGTATACTATGTATACTTGTAGATATTTGCCGCGTGATAAAACGTTTTAAATCATCATTCATATAAGGACTTTACTAAAATAAATCATGAATAGTACCGCAATATACTGATTTGCTGGAACAAAGCTTACTCGTATATCCCAGTCTGCAACTTTTTGTAAATCTGCATTTTCAACCCAAAGATAGTCCTTATAACAAACAACTACAGAGTGTCTACCAAGATCGTCAAAAAGCAAAATATATATTTCCAGGCAAAGATACATAGGAAACTAAAGATAGGGGTTAAACAAAGACATAACCTATTCCATAATCCAAATTCAGATATCTAGTCAATAAAATATTGTTTACATAAAAAACAACATACCCTAACCAGCTGCTAAGGCGCCCCAGAACTCTACACGAATCTGCACGACTTATTACAACTTTATCAAGGGCAATAACTCTGTACGTGATTTTTGAATATTTTTAAAGGGCCAATCTCGATTATATTTTGGAGAATAAAACTACTTAATTTTGTGTTAAAAGTCCCCAAATCCTCTACCTTAGGACCGAGCAACTAACTCAATATTATACGTTATACGTTTTCAAACAATTTAAATCCGTCAGTCTTCATCTGGAAATGGAGACCGATGTCCCAAGCTGTATTATACGGTGTCTGGATAAAACCAGACTTTTATCTTATAACGTGTAGGTGAAATTTACCTTTCGTTATCTGCAAGTACATCACTTGGGCCATGCACTGTATAGACCTCCAAAGGAATGGCAATCGTTTATCAGGTCATCCAACGAAAAAATTGACCCGAAATCTTAAAAGGGTTAATGTCCGGATAAGCGGTTTTGACGTTCACATCCAAACGACTCATTATTATGAGCTGAAATTTTAAGGCAAGGTAGATACCCTTCCTCTGTATTTTGGCGCTTAAATTTCATACGCACACGGACTTACTTTTTGAGACTCTGTTCAAATCGGGATAGTCCCTTTAATTTCTATAGTCCCCCTCGTCTTACTAATGTAAACAATGCATTCAAATAAACGGATCAGATAATGGGCAGACAGCCATGCGAACGGACAGACAGGCCAAATGGCGACAACAAAATACGATCACATATGACGTGGGCGCACCAAAGCACAGGACAAGCTTCCTTTACTTTAGATCTGGAAACTAAACTAGCTAATCACGACAACGCAGTGCCTCGCTTTCAATGAACATGCAAATTGATTGATGACAAATATGAAAACAAAATGATGCATTAAGATGAATGATCAACACAATCACAGATCAAATCTATAAAAATAAACTTAAAGTCTCTGTGTGTCATTTGCATTTTTCGGATTCATTAGGTAGCATTTAATTTTTGAAAAAAAAACCATCATAATTTTAACGGTAGATTACCGGATTTAAGCGAAACTCATAAGTGGCTGGCGCTTGTTGGCGTTGACTTCTATATATACTATTCAAAAAAAGTAGGGGATATTTGATTTTTAAGTGTTATTAAAGTCACCTAATGAAACTGACGAAGAAACAAATGACAAAATGAAATGAAGTTCACATTCATCGATTTATTCCAAATGAAACTGACGAAGAAACAAATGACAAAATGAAATGAAGTTCACATTCATCGATTTATTCCAAATGATCGTTAGACTAAGTAAGGCACAGACTGACCATTATAAGGGTAAAATGATACCCGGGGTCAAACAACAAAGTTACCACAGCATCACAACCAAGTCAGTAACGGGTAAATCCTCCTCTGTTTGCCAAACAAGCATTGATCCGACGTGGCATACTCCTAATGAGACGTCTAAGGTCATTTTGGTCCAGATTGTCCCATTCCTGTTGCAACGCAGCAGCAAGTTCTTGGACATTGGCAGGACGTTGTTGACGTTGACGTAACCTCTGTCCAAGCATGTCCCAGACATGCTCGATGGGGGAGAGGTCGGGACTCAGTGCTGGCCAAGGTAATGTGGTGATGTTCTGTTGTTGGAGGTAACCTGTAACGATCCTGACCCTGTGACATCTTGCGTTGTCATCCTGGAAGATGAAACGGCGGCCATGACGTCGTGCGAACGGCACAACATGGACTGCCAAGATGTTGTCCCGGTAGTACTGGCCTGTAACACGCCCTGCAACAACATGTAAAGCCGTTCTTCCAGCAACAGTGATGCCTCCCCACACCATAACAGAACCACCCCCAAATCGATCATGTCTGATGACGTTAACGTCTTGGAACCTTGACTCATCTGAAAACATCACATTGCTCCAGCGTCGATTATCCCAGTGTTGACGATCCCTACACCAACGACGTCTTGCCTGAATGTGATGATCTCTCAAACAAGGGATCACGCGAGGACGTCGGGCGCGAAGGTGACCCCTATGCAGTCAATTCCGAATCGTCTGGCCACTCACTCTCACACCAGTGTCTGTTTGAAGACGAGCGCTGATCTGATTTGCTGTGATGACACGATTTCTCAAGGCCAAGGTACGGATAAATCGATCCTGGGCTTGAGTTGTCGCCCTTGGTCGACCTGAGCGTGGTCTGTCCTGTACAGATTGTGTATCACGGTATCTGGACCATAGCCTGCTTATGACAGACTGAGAAACATTCATCGTCCGCGCCACAACCGCCTGTGTTGTGCCGATCTGTAGCATGCCAAGGGCACGTAACCTTTCATTTTGGGTAAGCCGACGCATATCAAAATTTGTTTTCTGGTCACTAAAACAATTAAACTGATGTTTCCAACCTGGAATTCAATGCCACAATGACTGTAACATTCAAAGTCAGAGTCGTGCAAATCTTGGGTTGGACCCCCATGATGATCCCAAGCATCACCTGCATTCCATGCGGTAGCTATTGGTGCATTTGGGCGTCACATGTAACTGGAAATGTTTCTTCTGTTAGGTTCTATAGTGACTTTTTTCGTAGTCATTTGCATATTTTAGTATTATGCCCCCAAAATCAAATATCCCCTACTTTTTTTGAATAGTATATTACATCATCTGCAGTGATTATCGTATGTTGTCAAGATTTTGATAAATGAGCCTACTGGACGGAATTGAACCAATTTTGGACTGATATACCTTTAATATTTTTAATTCACAATATTGTATTTTGTAAGGCATTATCAATTCCTAAAGTGACACCCAGAGACTTTAATAACAATAAACTATCTTCATAGATTATTAAAATCACAAAACCTTTTCTGTTATAGGAGATTATTTCTCTCCATGATATTTCATGTTCTTTCAATGGTATTAATAGCACAATCTTTACTGTTTCAAACCACCCCGAAATGACTTATAGACATAATCGTCAACTTCTCGCATGTGATGTCTTATTTTTGCCTATAGCCAAGACATAATCCGAGAACAATGGTGTCAAAAACTATAATTTCTTAAAGCAGAAAGCTTTAAATTATTGCAAATTCACAACTGCGCATATTCTAACAAAGTAGAATAATGTAGAAAATACAACCTAGTGTGTAGACATATAATATTAACGGATTAAAAGTCGTACGGTATCTCGAGAATAAATCGTCACTATATCCGAGTGACAATTTTAAACAGACGGATTAAAAGTCGTATGGCATTCTGAGAACAAATCGTCAACTCACCTGTGATTTCGGCCTGATAAGGACTTCCAGCTATTGGTATATTTCCATATTTAATTGTGATAAGATATTTTCCTGTAGCAAATGGCGTGTAAGAGAATTCATATCCCTCATCTACCTCTTTGCAGTTGATAGCAGCTTTAGAAGGTCCATCAATGAATATAGCCAGAATCCCAGTACCAGATCCCGCTGTCTTCACTAAAAACTTATTTTTGGTATCTGAAGAAGATTGTAAAGTTCAAAACCGTTTATGAATTTGAAAATGACATCACTGATTTTACCTATTAGTAACTACATCTTAGAAGAATGGACTAGTTTTCGGAAACATAGTTTTAATCCGCAGGTGTCTTTGATATAATCTTTTCTAATTTGCTGAAGTGGAGAAATTAGAAAATATCACCATGGAGCAGACGTTAAAGTAAAATGTATTTCTTTACTTACTGCATTTTCCTGTTTCAAGACCATTTCCGGTCGCTATAATAAGGGCAGGATCGGCACCACTTTGACCAACCATTATAGCAAACGGACTGTCTGGGATGTGAGCATCGTTCAATCTAATATCTATGTAGTGGACACCGTTTTCCTTGGGTATAAAACGCACGGCATAGCAGCCTTTGTCCATTTCTTGAATAAAACAATCCTCATGTCCACCGGTTGGTGATCTGATAGTGGCGTGAATAGTTCCACTAGCTCCATTCAGGTTGACAGAGAAGGTGGTTGGTTTATCAATCTGTAAGAACACATTCATTAAAATTCAACCATCAGGTTTGAAGTATAAACTACCAACATAATGCTTATCATCGAACTCTTTAAGACATTCACCTAATAAGCACCTACACCAAGTTTCAACATCATTTAGAAGCACGCATAGTTATTGTGTATCAAAAAGTGTGACGCGCAGACAGGCCGACGGACCGACTCACGGACGGACTGATGTTAATAGTCCCTTGCGTTCTTCGTTAGATGGGCGACAAACAGGGTTCTGGATATGGACAGGGTCATGATTCACGCAAGACTTAAAATTACATGAAGCATGTAGTGAAAGCTAACGGTAGGATCCCTACCGCCAGAGTTAACATTCAGGTATAATATATGTTCATATATACAGTACGACCAAATTATTCCACAAATAAATGAGAAATGTTAACCGGTAGGCTATAATGGGCCTACCCCATTGCGATATTCCAGAAGACTCATTCAAAGCATTTAACTGCTGGGAACAAAACCAACTGAATTAAGCAAAAATGACGTGATAAGAAATCAAATTGGAAAGTTCAAATGATGTTTAATAAGCCTTCTATAAAGTAAAAAGGAGATACATTCAGATAACTTACCTGTAACCCTCTATCTTTAAGTGAATGAACGGACACAGATTTAGCCTCTCCACTATCTGGTGCAACGTTTAGAATAAATGGTGATCCGGGGATATGCTGGTCATCAAACTTGATATGGATACCATATTTACCTTAATAAATTTAAATGACATTTACCAATATTTTTCTTTTTTATCACCAAACGTTACATTTTATACGTTGAAAGAGTAACTTCATTATTCGGCATTAAAAATTTAACTCGAAACGTTATGAAGATGAACAAACCACCACTCGTTTCTACCTAAAGTCTGGCTGTATTTGAACTGTTGTTGAGCGGGGATTTTTAAGTATCTAATCTATATAGATTTTACATTTAAAATAAAAAATATCATACTGTGTCAATAGAGCACAAGGGGTCTCTAGCAACATCCGCAGATAGTAGAAACTGAGTGACAAGGGGGAGGAGTGACCTCCTCAGATCGCAGGAAAGAATATATAGGTGACCTGAAGAACTTCCTCGATCGCGGGAAGGAGAGAAAAGGAGAGATTAAGTTCTTGGCCCCAGCCCCCCCCCCCCCATCCCCGTCTCGTTTGATCGCAAGGAATGAAGAAACAATGGACTGAAGAACTCATTTGATCGCAAGAAGGAGAAAAAAAGAGATTACGTTTATGATTGTTAGAAAGCATTGGTTTATATGTTGTTAAAGTGAAATTACATTTTTACTAAATATTACCTGGACTTTTACAGCTGTACGAACAACCAAGTGAACCATTCGGTCGGTCTTCTAGTGTTATAACAGATTTAGATGAACCTTCTATGGATATAGACAGATTACCTGGTCCAGCCTCACGGGTATAAATATTGAAGTCATCTAGAATACAATGAAAACCAACATTAGTAAATGCAGAATAATAGTACATAGGTGCTGCTCAACAAGTAAATGCTCTCCAAACTGTTTAGTTGTTCTTAATGAATCTGAAACACCATTCCTTGCTGCAGTAATGAGATAACACAGAGCAAATAAAACTATCTTACTTGAGATGAGACAACATTTAATCAAATTTGGAATAAATAAAACTATCTTACTTGCGGTGCCAACTTCTCCACGTTCTAGACCAGGACCTCCAGCTTGTACTTTATGGGCACCACCCTGGCTTAAATGTCCAACAGAATACGGGAATGGACTACCTACAAATTTGAACGAAAATCATACAAATCCAGACAACAACAAATGATTACTTCATATGAAAGTTCCGATATATTCCTTAAAATTCAGGGAATCAATACATGTACAATTATTGTCATCATCGAGTTAAGCATCATCAACACAATACCACCTTATTCCTCCACCTGCAAGAACTTTCATTGGAACCAATTAATGCAAACCGTTTTCAATTTATGCTCACCAAAAATGAGAGGGAATATTGCATGAGACCACATAGGCCTACGTTGCGTAAATGCAGAAGAACCGCACCCATGGTAAACAAACCTGCGGACAAGACTACTCACATATGGCATTGTAAGTAATAAACAATAAAATTACCATAGAATCAAGTGAACGGACTTGGGCTTGCCGCGAGCGTTGTATATAATCCCGGACTTGCACGGATGCAGGGTTTATTATCAAGCTCCCACAAATCTTACTATTCTAGTGGGCATCTTCGGATGTATCCAGGAGAACGTTTAGCCATTGTTTCAACTTCATTATTCAATATTAAAAGGTCTCAATGGTTGGTATAGTTTAGCCATTGTTTCAAGATCTAAATGGTTGGTATAGTTACCTGCAACATGCACACCCTTGTGTTTGACACTCAAGATATGCGTTCCTTCAATATCAGGCTTAAAATGAATCAAATAATGGAAATCGTCCTCATCTACTACATCACATAGTTCAGTTTGTCCATCAGGGTTGGTGATTGAAGCCTCCATATCAAAGGGGTTGGTACCTAAATGAGAGGCAATTGATATCATTAGTATATTAAGCACCCCACGAATAGTGCCCCATAAGGCTTAACATAGCAGGGGTTATATTCCTTGGTGTTTTTATAGCGTTCAATATCATTCAAAACCGGCTAAATTCATCTAATAGTTTTCACCCGCCCCCAACCCCAACTTTTCTTAAATGTTTTATCATATATTGAAATAAAATAAGTTACCAGGTATCTTGAGGATGAAGGTACATTGTTTGCCAGGAGAAGATGCTTCAGCAGCTTCCATTTGCTTCTGAACTGTTTCACGAATACGACCAGATGGATTACCCTTGACGTCCAATAAAAATGGACTGCCTGTTGATAAATATTTCATGTCGATTAGTATTAATTAGTAGCAAAACACGATATGGTTAATGAATTCATTTAAGCTCAAAGTTTCAAACCTTTACACTCAAACATTATGAACATCTTCAGAACTTCGGATGATTATGCATTATACCCCTTATGATGTAACCGAATTGAAGCTTTACAATGTTATGTTGTAGATTTAAGATCTCCGTGGCTCTAGCTTAACAAAACACAAGAATAAGCAACAAACAAGAAAGGATATTGTAAGCATTTGTGATTCTATGTGATTGGAGAAACCTAAATATACTTTAAACATACATTATGCAAGAACTATATCTGTCTATTGCAGGTCTTTCTTTAGGCCTGAAATGTTATCTAAATTATCAATTAGAAATTAATTAACTTATTCAGACCATAATCAACCCTCGACACCATCGTTAGCCTGCGATATTTAGTGGATCTGAATACATTTGGTGATGGATAATTAAAAGTAAAAGTGGATAATCGAGACTTGGTTTATTGTGGCACCAAAGTTAGTAAAGACGTTCGGGGCTAGCCTAATATTGAATCGCTAATATTTCGATTCAGAGGAAAGCAATTTGACTGAAATTTACAGCATATTTGATTTCATTATCTATTTTTTTAACTATTATACCGAAAACTGTCAGCTCTTTATCTAATCTTACCTAATGCCCCTTTAAGTAGCTTGGCTTTTAAACAAGCTGAATCAAATTTTGTGCAATACAAAGTTTGTTCTAAAAGATAATCATAATAAACATTCGATGTCCTACCTGGTATATGCTCATCAGCGAATCTGATATTAAGGATGTATATTCCCGGTTCATGAGGAGCATACTGAATAGTATATTTCCTGTCATTAACTTCAATACAATCAATCTCCGAACGATGACCACCTTCAATGGCTACACTAAGACCACCATAACCTATAATACAGTTTAGATTATAATTACATTATTATAAATTAGCAGATCACCTGGGTTATTTTGACCTCACAAAGTATCAGTTGAACCAAAGTGGTAAAAGTATTTGATAGTACAAACGAATAGGATTTCAGCTTTCATTGGATAAAACTTAATATATTTCCTTGTGAGTACCACTGTTAAGAATTAAAATCAGAATCGTACTTACCAGCGTTAGATGTGTCAATTTCAAGTGTATTTGGCGAGTTAGCACTAGCATCAGTCACAGCACCAGTAACATGGACTTTTGCAGCATGACCCAATTCTTTATCACCTACATCAATAGTATAAGGACTGCCCTTGATTGGCTTTTCGTCATGATATATGTTGACTTTGTATGCTCCTTTCTTCTTAGGGTTGAACGAGGCAATACCTAATATAAACAAATTAATGTTGTTATGTGAAAAAAGAACCGGTAAAAACTAGACCTTAAAAAGTACAAAAATTAGTAGATCCTAATCTTGAAAACTCTTTTATTACAACAGAACCGGCAAACAGAGTCATATACAAAATTCTGCACATAGAGAATTATTTACTTTGAGAATAGATCTCTGCCTCGAATGACCACCATAATATTAATATACTATTATGTAATGCGGCTCTGATCCGTTTTATATCTTTCATACACAAAGACTAAATAAACATCTTCAATTGCATTAAATGAAAGCGCAATAAAAACTTCCGAATATTCTCGAAGTATACTTTTATTAGTGTTTTCGACCAAAATCGACCATGCAGTGAATTAAAATGTCGGTCAATAAGTTTCGTGTCTCTTTTCAAGCAGAGCTTATTGTAGATGGCCAGACTCTCTTTATACATGGCTCTGCTAGCAACTATTGTGCTCACAGCTTTATATATGGTTGGCTACCAATTATTACTTAAAGGTCGTGGAACTGCCTTTAATTCTTTATGAGTCAAAGAAAGGTAGGACTTTATTAGCAATTATGCGGCAGCTATCTAGGAAGTTGAGCCCCATATCACTACATTTATTTAATTCCAATTCAAATAAACATCTTGTATTACGAACAAATGACTAATGTTCAAATTTACAGAAATTGAGTTTGATAAAAAATGATATCAATATCTTTTATTAATTCCCATTCCTTCAAAAGTGCGCCATTGGAAGATTGTTTGAGTCAGTCAAGTATTTCACCTTAATTAAAGTACTTGATTCAAGTAGAAGTTTTTACAGCTGTTACAGATTCAATGAACATAATTATCGTTCCTGATATGGGCGTTTCTATTACATTTCTGTCTAATCATCACAGGGTCTACGACTCTATATTATGCTACTTTATTCAGCATGTGTTTCTAATCACCAATTACTAATTACGTTCATAGAGACGTAAATATATTACGGTTAAGTGGTTCTGATTCCCTGGGATTTCTTACCGTTTTGTCTCCCTCCCTTAGCTCTGCTCTGAAGTTATTTAAGAAGATGCCAACTTTCTGTTGTCTCAATTTTGCTAAAACACGCAGGTTTATAAAATGTTCACCATGATTTTAATATAATGCCAGGTTGTAACTGACGTGAAAAATATCTAAATAAGACCTGTGTAAGAACTGGGATATAACGTCTTGGCAACACACAATAGCTCTTCATTAGTCCCGTCTTCATTCTTGTACATGCACGACAACCGTGTACATAAAACCCCGTGTTTCATCCCATCCGAACGACAGGACCCAGTTCCTTGCCAGCTTCCCACCCCCACGCCCTGCACTACCCACAAGGGGATATTCCGGTGAAGCGCCTTACTCACTAAACCAGCGCGGCCCCCGTATGTAAAGCAAGCTGGTGTTCAACATACCCCACGACTAGTTCAGATAAACAGATCCATGTTGTTTCTAGTTTCGAAAACAGCCACAGCATGGTAGCAGGTAATTGCGTGTTTAATATTTGTTTTAAATTTATGAAGATTTTAATGCACTCTGATAGATAACCTTAAACAAGTACATTTGCTGAGATAGATAATTTCAGCAGGGATAAGAAAATAAATAATGGATGTATCTCTAGGTTTTATCTTCCTAACACGTGCTGTTAATATCACCATCGTTTTATGTATGTAAACACGTCTTGCTGTAGAAGACATGTTAATGAATTAAACTTTTAATAAATTTTATGTTAAAAGCGCAGTAGCAATCTTTAAACGTCATTTAATGGATTTTGACTCAAGTTGCGTTATTGGTCAGCTTACCCTAGTATTAAATCATATTTATAAATGGCATTCTGGTTTTTTCCACTGAGATGCCACCGAATACCGGAGTTATTACTATATAATGATTTGTTATAGAAACAGGGTCATTAAAGTCACTATTCTGTTATTTAATACATGTTATGTATATGTATTTAAATCGGTTCATATGTGTTCTATGATCTTGAGGTGATATACTAATGCAACATGAAATGGGGGGTAGTAACTAAGCTCGTTCCACAATCCCAGTATACGGAAGCCAATACATACCCCCCGCTCCTTCTTTCCTTCGCGTCAGCGGTGTGCGAAAGCGAAGCAAAGAAGCAGTGACAAATGGTCCTAATCTTGCCTTTGCCTCAATACGAATTCAAGAAACAACCATTGCGAAACCTACAAGTCGAGTCACTTCTGAGCTTCGCCTTGTTCATTTCTTGCCTTCTTGGCTTCGCGCTGTTAACTTGTGATCCGACAGGGGAGCTACCCGGATCTCCAGGTTAGTGAACTAGTGCCATATTCACCGAGAAACCGTAACATAGTTACCGTAGCATATATTATTGCAGTTGAGAGTACATTTTGGCCTTATGGCAAGTTTTCTAGTTTTGATGAACATAAGCTAACACTCATGGATATATCAAAACCAGTACAGCACGTACACCATATCATACAAATGTCGCTTACCCAATTCACCATCACCAAGTTTCTTCAAGATGATTGGTTCTACAGTACCGTCAGGTAATTTCATACTTCCTGACAGATTAACAGAATTGGCTTCTACAATCTTCAAATTGTATTCACTGCTGTTACCCAGTGATAACTGAGAACGTTTTCTGCCTTCACCTATTTTTTAAAAAAAATCAAAATATTTGAATATATTAACTTTCAATAAAGAATGGTGTTTCAAGTGAATCACTCGCGTATATGTTCCCTCCTTTATGATATTCCTTTTTAATAAATGAACATCATTACGAGAAGCTTTCTTAAAGATTTCTAATATATGGCCTTTTTTTAAAAAAATAAAATACCCATTTGTTATTCTTATACGTTCTTCTTACCTGATACTTTAGCGGTGAAAGGCGATCCTTTGATATGTTTGCCATTATATTTAATATTTAAACTGTAGGCACCAGGGGTCATAGGTCGGAAGCTAAAGTTAATGGAACCATCGGGGTTATCTTTCCTTGATAAATCTACTTTACCAGGTCCATCAATATTTACGGTCAGGTCCTCTAAAATAAAAGTAAGTTAGTGTTTAGATCAAAGCGAAGCTCAGTAGTACACGTCACAACTCGATGCATCTGAACAACTGAGGTCATTAAGCAAAAGGTCTTTGATGTAATTGATACACCTTAAATATTTTTAATCCATTTGTCTCCCCACGTTATGACCATTTCGTCCAATACAGTCAAGGAAAATGATCAGATAACATCATTTATTTTAAATAATTATATGTTAGACTGTATAGAGTATGATGTCATCGCGGCCATCTTGGAATTGCAATGTCATACTCGTTTCCGTCGAAATGTGTCAATCAATGTGCAATTGTCCAGGGAACAAGCATGCTAAGTTTCATGTCGATGGTACATGAAAAAACCCAACAAAAATAGATATCATGGAACTTACTGGAATGGCCTTGTATGGCGACAACTGTAAAATCAACACTTTCTCCACTTTGACCTCCAACTAAACCTTTACCAAAGGCTGTTACATATCCACCACCCACAGAATCAACTACACATTGGAACGGGCTACCTGAAAATAATATATTTTCATAGTGTTGCATTATTTTATCAGAATAATTCGTCTTAAAGCAATTTAGTTTTAAACAGGAGTTAAAACTCCTAAGAATTATGGCATATGGAATGACATGAATGGTGTTTGCCAATTCGTACCTTACACGACCATTATGCGTAGAGATGCAGATAAAATTGTGAAGCGGTTTCAGACTGTTTACTTTACTGTTCAGGGAAATAGTACCTTTAAACCCCTACTTGGTAACCGAGATTACAATTATAGCGGAATGCGGACATCACCATCAGGCGCGGATCCGGGGGAGGGGGGGCTGTGGCCGACCCCCCGGCCCCAATGAGCCTGTTCATTACTGTTCAGACCAGCACCTGCAGCCAGCAATGGGATTCCCAGATTTATTTTAGTTTCTGCTCAATGAAGCCGCGACGAAGACTCTGGGGACTGCACCAAACCACTAATGCATGCGGCAATCTGATGATAAACCTTTGCTCCAATGTATGCCCCCCCCCACTCGACAAAATCCTGGATCCGGGCCTGACCACAGAATACTGTCATGATTTATTACATGGTAAACATGGCTAGGTGTATAAACCTTAGACATGATTCCATTGTGATCGTTAATTGCTATTTTATCATTTTGTAGTTAACTACGGTAGTAATTAATTTTCATTACTTCTAAGGATTTATTTTATTGTTATTTTCCCTGTTATTGGGACTGTTTGTTGTACTCTATCGGGTATATTATTTTGTAGACCAAAGAAAACACTTGATGATCAAAAATTAGAACCCAGCTTCATCATCAGTATGTATAACTAATTCCATACTCTCTTTAACACTTGTCAGTTGAAACTAAGGTCAGTTTTTCCAAGTACCAACTTAATATTGATTATTTATTGGTTGGTATTTAGCTTAGCTAAACGGTATGGATGAACAACTGGGTTTGCGATTTTTCTAAATCCACGCTGTCCCTCCATATACCTATACGTAGTAATGAATGTCATTCACGAGGTGGTGTATGCGTATTTATATAAGGATTCACATAATTAATTCGTTTTCTGATAAAAACATACTACCGGGTACTCTTGAAGAAAATGTTTTAATAAGTACAATAATGGCCCATTATTTATTTTTTCATGACAACATTTTGGCTATTGTAATTTCTTGTATATCAGCTATGGTGCCAACAATAATATAGTACGGTGTAATCAAAATACATTCATTAACGGAAAGATCACTAAGATATCAAAGAACGTATCGTATCATGATCATCTATGGCATCCAATAATGCCAAAAATATCGAAACACCCAAGGCCATTATCATTTTACTGTGCTTATTTTGTAGAACTGGAAATGGATTCCTATCAGCTGTATTAGTCTCCGGCCAAATTACCTGGAAGTTTTGTATTTGCCAACCCACTATACACAAAAGGCAATGGCTACGATGGCACATATGGGTTCATCGATAAGCAAATCATAATCTGCTGGATTTTCTTTTGATAAGACGGTAACATTGTGAACATTTGGATTAGATTTGGTGTGCAAGAGAATTGTTGTCACGCTGTTCGGTTGGTAGTGAATTTCTTTATGATCAGAATGAAAACTAACTTTTCCTATTTGATAATTTATTCATTGCAATGACCCAGTAATACAATGTTGGTATATTCATGATAGTCCGAACGTCACTGATTATTGCATTAGTGCGACTTTATGATGATAGCTCCAAAACATGTCACTGGTTTGACGTTCAAATCTTGGCATACTAAGTCGTTATATGTAAATCGCTGTTTATTGTCGTTTTTTTTTTAACTGGATAGGTTGGACTACTGGATTGTAGCATAACCATGACCGCTGTTCGAGGGAAGCGTTTGAATGGTTCATGACAATCATGCCGTTTATCATGAAAGATAAAAGTTAGTCTGGATGAATATATATGAATTCCTTAACTATTGGAAATCTGTCAGATTATCGAATTGAGCTTTAGTTAGCATCATGAACATACATGGACATGTGCAGATAAGTGGGTCTTGAAATGGTTGGTAAATGATTTGCTGTTATATAGTTTATTTTGTGTTTATACAATAACTCGACATGGCTTTAAATAATATTGTTGCGTTTAATCAGAAAACAGCACATGTTGAGATAATGTCTCACTGAAACCAACAGCCCCGATAAAAAAAAACTGCGTAAATAACCTAAAAAATGTGCGAAAAGAAGATAATTTGGCTAGTTATATTCGATATAACAGTTACTAAGGACGCCATCACAGCCATCTGATCAAAGATTGGAAGTCTGTAAATAGATCCTACTTATCCTTTCAATATTCATTAGAACAATGAACGACAACTTAGACCCAACAAACGTTTGCATATCGTTTTGTATGCGAATTCAAACACGCGTTGTTGATCCGACTATATTTAAAAGGGCGTGTTTATTATTATTATTATATTTTATATTATTCATATTTAAATTTATTCTCACGTGATGCATCATGTTTAAATTAACATTACATAATAATATGCTTGTTTGTCAGTTGATTGACAAGGGAACAGTGTCGATTAAAAAGGTTGTATTATTACAGTAAAAATTAATAAACATAATTCCATGCCGAATCAGGTTCCTTGCGTGCGTTGAATCGCTGGCTTACATGTGTGGAATAACTAAATACAGGAAACCAAAACTTAATGATGAGTATCACATCTGTGTATCTGATACTAATTTCATATAAGCCTGGGGTCGAATCCATGACTCGGTGACCTACAGGGGACTCGATAGACCGCTTGGCCACCTAATCCCGTTAATTAAGAAGATATTTAGATACAACATTTATGTCTTACAGCCAAACGCATTAAAAGTAGGCATTTATAGGTGAACAAAACAATGTGATCTGATACATGCAGAAATACCAAAAACATCGTAAGCTATGTGAGCATGTTAACTTTAACAGTTGTTTGTCATTAATTTTACCATTGGAAGTAAAAATAGCCCATCGGCCAAGGTATTTGAATCTGTAAAATATGCGATAAGGTGTTCATTTTCTGCTAGATTCTTTTAATATTGCTTTTGGTGATTATTTCAGAACAGCGAGGGTATCAACGCAAAGATACGGCAAACAATGATAGCTCTGTAAGCTATTCATGATACTCAGCTGAATGAGATCCTCAACACAGCTTTATAGATAACAATCATTAGCAAATTTAATAATGCTATAAGTTGAATGAGGTTTTCTGAAATGAATAAGTATAATATATTCTGAATTCTGACCATATAGATAATTTAAAGCAAGAATGGTCGAACGCGTTTGCTTTAAATAATAAGATCTGGCAATGAGTAAAGTGTGAGAAATAGGGTTAAACATCCACTCGACAAAAAACTTTGTCATTTCGGAACGAACATATGATTCAGTTTTATTTCAATAATTCGCTTGCGCATAGGGGTCTTTAACTGCGGACAGGCGACCCTACCTATTGCTGTACATAGATTGTATTAGAAATTCATGGTATTATTAGAAAAGAAATGAAATGGGGTTTAACGTTCTACTGTCATTGTATTAGAAACAATATTCGGGAATTTTATAGTCCCAACAAATAATAATCAGTTACGGATTTTGAAATAAGAGACCCCTCAACAATTTGATATTGTGTTTGCTAAGTCCATTATAAAACTTTAAATAAACCCTACTGTTTGTAAATCAAAACATTTCAGTGCTACCTGGCATTACTAACCAGATTCTAACGACCAAATAAAAAAAGTCTATAAAACTAATCTTTTAGCAAAATAAACACGTGAATTTATAAGAAACAAAACTTGCGTCTGGCAAAGACATCAAACTAATTGATAGTCTTTTAGACGGGGAAAAATCTGGCCTATACAACTTCGTTTCATTTCATTTCCCCCAATCATTTTGTTTACTGGAAAGAGAAATCGACAAGACAGGTACATGCCACGGATGTTAAAGGTGTTAAAGGAAATGTTTCGCCTTCCCAGGTCACATTCAGAGAACATATGTTGCCAGGCAAGAAAATATCGTCCATAGCTGTGCATTTTTAGGCAATTGAAAGCAAAATCTATTTTCTGTATTAACGATTTTACACGATGCTATGACATAATCAAGAGCAAAAACTCTCTATGTAATTATCAGAAATTGTTGTATTTGTTAGTGATTGCAATAACTAAAACAAATAACATAATATAAATTTAAAGTAGATCAGATGATTACATACAATCTAAAATAAACATACCGCCCAATGTAACGGTATATATGGTCAAATCGAATCACCCGAAAATACCTCTTAAATTTGAGGTGATTATTTTCTTACGAATCACTCCAAAAATGCCTCTTTAAATTTGTTGCGAATATTTTCTTATGAATCACTCGAAAATAAATCTTTAAATTTGTTGTAATTATTTTTTTATGAATCACCTATTATCTACATGATAAATCTATATACTGTACAGACGGAGAATGTTTGCCATGAAAATATTAACTCACGTTTACTGCTTATCATTTACGAAAACAAGAGACAGGCGTGCGTTAAGTTAGGATTGTTGCCAAAGAAGATTATTAGATAATATGGGTGAAACTCTGAATTTCTGAGAAGGCTGTTTCGCTAGGATTAGAAAAATTGCGTCGTATTAAAGATACATTAGGCAAGAGCTAAATCTGTCTATTGCAGGTATTTTCTCTGGATTCAAATGATGTTATATTAATTATTATTTAGACATATATATGTACAAAATCAACTCTCTGGTTGCCTAGATATTGAATGGATTAGAACATCAGCGTCATTTAATAATCTGACATAATGCATCTTTAAGCAATGTAATAGTAAAATAATGAACTGTTTAGATATAAGAGAACTTCAGTAACTCGATCAGTGATAAATTAGACTGTTAAAATGCAGATAAAAAAATAAATTAATAACAACTTAAATGTCAAAATTTGGATTATGAAAATTTGGCACTTAAAAGATTGTGTAAAGAGTCTTATCTTTCCGTAATTAAACGAACATGTTTGTGATTATGATGTACCATTCGGCCACCCAACCCATGGTTGCGTTAAAGCACGCAATTATCAGTTTAATTTTTTTTTGATAATACAGTCATAAAACGGGTTTCTTTCCAAGCAGTAATTAGTTTGTTCTAATGTGTCAATGTCTGAAACCAACACGAATCATTGCAATGAATAAAATAGATTGACATGAGATAAAACAAGCCACCTGTAGGACTCATGTCCCCCATCTTAATCCCAGCACAATGGCACTTGCACATTTATCTTTTTATAAAGCATCGAGCAATCAAATGGGTTATTACTCTGGTTAATCCCGAAAGAAAATAAGAATAATAATTAATTCGTAACTCAATTGTTACAATTCGTAGATGATTCTTTCTTTTCGTACCTTTATCATAATACTCCCCGAATTCAATATCTTACGCGCCAAACGTAGTGTATTCGTAACTGAATTTGGCATATCCGTTAACAATTCGACATATTCGTATACAATTCGTAACCCATTTGTAACTCAATCGCTACATTCGGCATGTTTTTGTCTCAATTGCCTACAAATTGTCGTAACTCATTGATAAACTATTCGTAAATGCTTGGTAGCTACTGTCGATTCTCAACGATTTTTTTTCTGTCGAATCGCTACGAATTTCGATTTATTTCGATTCGGCACTATTCGGGGGCGATTTGTAGCATTCATTCGTAACCAACGCGACACTGGGGCATTTATTTAGCCGAGAAAATCACAGCTGATTCGTAGTTAATTTGGAATATTTTGAGCCGGTTTTAAGGATTTTATGGAGCCACGAATGACCACGAATGTAAAAAAATCGAATAGGAAGCTGTTACAGATGATACGAAATGATTATGACGGGTTTACGATACATCTATACATTCCGAAAGTTGTTGACAAACAAAAACGTTCGTGGTCGAGCTACAAGCTACTACGAACAATACGAATGTTTAAGAACCGAAAAAGAATCATTCACGAACTTCAGGAACCGTCTACGATTTATCTACGAATCGGAAAAAGTTTGGATTCGTGACATTAGGGGTCCACGTGAAAGCCAGGATAAGCAAAAAAAGCTCATCATCGGTTTGAGTCAAGACATTCACATAACAAATTTCTACTGCACGTTTCAACATTCTGCTTCAATTAGAAGCAGTATTGTCTCTAGAAACAGATACAGATCTTAAAAATGAGGTCATATAAGACTCCCATAAATTGGAATTTTCTTAAATCCTACCATTTACAGCTGCTCCATTATGTTCCATTAACACTTCATGTCTTCCAACCTCTTTAGGTTGGTACTGTACTGTGATTGTTCCATCACTATTATCTCGTATGTGCGGACCGCTCGACGACATCTTGTTCTGAAAAAAATAGATTAGACATTTTTCAGACGTAATCATAAATGTGTTACATTAAAGCATTATGTTATTTAAAATCTTAAAAAATAAAACTTTCCGACATTAAAGATTAACCTGGTCATTTGTTTATATGAAATTGAATACGACTAGCAGGATCAAGTTTACACTACTTTACAAAACATATTCGTCACTATACGTTAGAAATAATAACACACGCCGCCAAATTCCCTTTTTAAAATATATATTTTTATTATGTATGTTTTAACAAAACTATGAACACTTTATACTTTATTTGGGCGTTTATTGAGCAAATCAAAATTTAACCCACGTAATGTATTTTGCCGTTTTTATAGTAACTTCTAGGTGGTCGTTTACTGGGGGTGGGGGAGGGGGTGCGGGCATAAACACCTTAAACAAATTGCAAATCAAAAAGCATCTAGTCTTAAGGATGGTCAAAAACACCAAGGTCTCGTGTATAATTGACAGCATGTACTTTATTGCATAAACACCTTAAACAAATTGCAAATCAAAAAGCATCTAGTCTTAAGGATGGTCAAAAACACCGAGGTCTCGTGTATAATTGACAGCATGTACTTTATTGCATAAAAAACCTTACAAGGTTATGTGCATATATGAATAAAAAGAATATAAGTATACAAATGAAACAAACAAACACATGTATATAATTATACAGAAATACAAAACGTACAAAGGCATGAACAAATGGTATATAAAAGCTCCTAAACATTTTAAAATTTCTACATTTTATAAATTATTGATCCGCTGACAGTTTGCAGTTGAAACAAAGTTAGGTCGTAGTGCCGCTGTCAGATCAACATTTTCCATCTTCCTCAGCCCGGTTGGCGCAAAAACGTACGACGTTAATTCCTATTTCATTTCACATCGTCATTGATCTCAGTGGCTTAAGAAAAAGAGGTAAAGTGACGGAAAGCAATGAGTGTTTGTACCCTCTCTCAAATGGGCAAATTTCCCTCATCGCACACTGTATGGCGTATGCCCGTCTTCATTAGCCCAGTTCGGAGCAGAACAGTAGGACGTTAAACCCCATTTCTTTTTATTTCATTTCATCTCTCTAATGGAAACAAACCACGTGGTTTCAGTACGGTTTTTAACGCAATAATTATATCACAACAAATCATGTTCCGCACAACCCAAAATTTTATCCGTCGGGGGAAGAAACCACCACCCCCATCTCCATCGATATAAATATTGGGTTTTTGTGCCGCCAATGGATCTTGTTCCTCATTCAAAATCATACCCCTGCCACAGCAACACGGTTGAACTTTGCGAGCGGCCTTTATTATAATAATATTTCGCAAATTACCTGTATCTGCATATATTTTACTTACAATAAAAACTAAACATACAAACAATGTTTAACCATGTTTCTTATAAATACCACATACACATATGGTTATGTTTACGTTATCAGGATGTCAAACATAAACTTCTATAATACACTCTGTGTAGATACAGAACATCTCGCTTATCCTACACTTACTTAACGACAGATAAATACCATCTTGGGTCTTCAGGTTTATTGAGATTTTCTTTTACAACTCGATATGTTGTCTGATATATGTCAAACTGAACATTAACAACAAGCGCATTTCTGTAGAAGATATGAAATGAATTAAAGAAATTTGTCAAGATCAAATTATTCTTATATACATGACATACCGATCTCAAAATGATTTAATGTAGTTGTTTTTACAGTAAGCCATATCATAATTTATTGAATGGATAATTGTATTGCACTTTCTCTAAATATACCCAACACACTACCCCACCCAATCCCGACCAACCCCCACAGCCTTAATGTTTGTAGGAAACAAACAGTATTATTATATTATGTTATAAATTGACGTGTAATTATAAAACAAATAACCAAACTGAACTATTGTTTCTCTTACACGATAAGGTAATATGACATACATACACAAACAGACTCACGCTTATTAAATGGGCATTTTTAAATAATTCTTCCAAATTCTTTCATGTACAGATTATGTTTAGTATAAATTCTCACTGGTGCCAATAAACAGCAGATAGTTAAAGTATCAACTACATGTATGTCTCAAAGAAAAATCAAATGATGGATGGTTATAGGGTTCATTAGTCGTTTATCAGCTGGTTACAAGAAACAACCAAGAAAGTTATTAAAGGAGGCAAGTCTCTCAGTATCATCCACTGTCTTCGACATTACAAACACGACTTATTAGTCAATGGTCAATTTAAATCAACATTGATATTGTTATCTTACCGAGAAAAGGTGGGCCTCTGATATACAAAATTTAAGACAAAATCAAAATTTCAAAATTGGTACACGAATCATGTGCTAAAATGCTTTCGAGTGCTGTCTGTAACGAGGCTACATATATTCCACAGGAGAATGCTTCCGGTTTAGACTGGAATAACGCCATTCAATTTGGACCCTTCGTGTATTTTGCCGAACATAACTGATTAGAAATTACAGTAAAAACAGTTTATATACAGTCATATTACATTTCTAGGTGTCAAAGAATAGAGAATTAACTCCTTTAACCTATTACAAAAGATATATTGCATAGAAAAGTAACCATGGCTGTAGTTTTTGTATTGACGACTGTAAGTTCAGAAGGAATGTAACCCAGGAAAAGACAATCTATTTTGTTCATACAGCTTTTTATACAGATTGTGAAAGGGTGGTGGGTCTGGTAAAAAAAACCATCTAGTCGTTCGGAAGGTTTCCCTGCGCACTAGTTTACATGCACGCAAATAAACACCTGAGAATTGAAATTCGATGGAGATTAGGCAGAATCATCGGCGGTTTCCGGGCAAACTTTTCTTCATAGCTCACTTTATGGCGTATAGGTTTTGCGCCACAATAACTCTGAATTGTTTATTAAAGCTCTATGTAGCATACATCGGCATTTTACAACTGTTGCAACGAGAAGCAAAAGATCTGAAATCTAAGTCTATTAATTGTGGAATGTAAATTGGTGGCAAAGAAAGTTTGAGGAAGCTTGAGGCTACTGTATGAATGATTGGAATCTGTAAATATGAACGTTAAGTTACACCAATTTGCTGACACGATGTTTATTTCTTTTCAAATTGTACGATGTACAAATTAGCTCAAATTTCTAAACGTTATCAATAAAGGTAATAACATTATCTAATTGGAAAGTTATTGATAACACTTTGAGTTATTTTATAAGCACGTTATTAATAAATTATTAATTATTTTATTGGTTAAAGGTATATTAATATAATATTCAATAGGTTCTACTTAATATATAGTCTACACATGTTTTAATTTATTGGCACTGCTGGAGGTTACACCCACTCTTATAAGTAGTTATTTAATCGCAATAGTTCTTTCCATCAATTTGTTATAACTGATGCACAGAGTCATTCTTAAAAGTTTTATCAACTTTTCATTTAGTATATTAATGAAATATTTTTGATTCGAAAATAAATTCATTTGACTTAAGCTGATCACAGACTGTAAAGGTTGGGTATATGAAATAGATGATTTTTTGACAGATAGTAGTATACTACTTCAGATAATTCTCCGATTCCTTTATTTCTTTCACTGTCGCTTCAGTATAACCAGCAATATCTTTAATGATTTGGTATTCGCTAACTTTAGTTCAAGTATGGAATGGGTTTAACTTGTCATATTGCATTATTCCTGACTTTATACAGAACAAAAAAACTGATTATGAAATAGTTTCATCTTTATGTGATTAACAAATAATTTGTTCTAATACACACAGTACGTCGTAAGCCCTTCTTCATTAGTCCATTCGGTGCAGAAAAATAGGACTAATAAATCCCATTTCATTTCTGGCAATTGAGAACCAGCATGGACAAACCTCGAAGGTTCTTCTCGGTCCATGCCGATATTCGAACCTGTAACTACCGTGACCTCACTATTGCATATTAACTGAAACATTTTAGTAAAGGTATGTTAGTCCTAAATAATAATGACAAGATCGTGAACATATGTTTCTTGGAAGAATGTATTTGCAACGTGTATCCTTAACGCCTACAATTTTCTTACACAAGAAATAGGGAGCGGTAGGAAATTGTTTTAAAAATTACTTTTTATCTAAACATACTTGATACTGCAGGTGAAGTGCGTGGAAGTATGAAGCCATTTGGCAAGCGGAACTAATTCATTCTTTCACATGTAGGTTCAGTATCAAATTTCATCAGGTATTTAAATTAAATTAAACCTGCTACAAATTAAGGGTAGACACTATGATATATAGCACGTAGATGGTGAGATTGGAGAATGATGTAACATATTCCTAAACAGATACGTAAATGTCGAGACTGACCTCTAATCTACGTAAATTCTAGTTATCTCATGAAACGATACTAATTTCATCGCATTTTTGTCTTTTCATCATAGACTGGATCATGGGAGTAGAAATCATCGGTCTTACGTACTTATCACCGACAAGAGCATTTTTTTTTGTCAGTAGCCCAAACTATTGCAAAAGGTGACAGACAGGGACAGATTTGTTAAAGATATTTAATTCATTTCATAACAATGTTGAAAAAAAGTATGGATAATTTAAATTTGGACAAAAAACGACGACCATACTTAATCACTGACAAGAACGGACACGAGAGATTCTTTTTTTTTTGGTCATTTTCACTTATCCATAATCATTTTCAATTTTATTTTGTCGATTTCACTTATCTATAATTATTTTCAATTTCTTTTAGGAATTATTTAAATTTTCGATATGATGTGTAGAAGATGCATATCTATACCATATATTTCCTTGTCGGTCAGGGGGTTGGATGGCAGAATGGTTAGCGTTGTATCATCAGGTCAACTGGCATTGTTTCGGTTCCCAGGTTCAACCTCGTGGATTTTCTCCGGGTCCTGCAGTTTCCAACCACTGCTATAGACCCCTACGCGCAAGCGAATTATTTAAATAAAATTGAACCATTTAGTCTCGACATGACGTAGTTTGTGTCGAGTG